ATGTTTGGAAAAACCTGAACCGCATCTGTTTTCATTATATTATATGATTACCAACTGGATTGCCAGCAGTCAAATGAAATCCACATTAGAGATTTATTTATTATTGTTGCTTTTTGTATGAGTCATTCAGCTGGGGGTGATCAGTGTCCCATGCAGAAATGCCCCAAACTAAAATTAATATTAAATTACACATTTACGAGCATGAAGCATGTGTTCCGTACAGAAAACAGAAACAGAAACAGAAATAAAAATACATACACGCAACATATGTACATATGTACATACATATATTTATTACATAACCTTCTATTACGTGCCAAAAAACAAAAAAACAAAAAACAAAAAACAAAATTAAAAACAAAAAAAAACTAAAGCAAAAAAAGCACAGCTAACTAACTTGGCAAATAGAGGGAACATTTCGCGGAACCTCTCGCGAGCGATTCTATAAGCTGAAAGATAACCCTGGCCGAATAGTAAACACCCTCTACTGAATAATAGCTGATGATGTGAGGAATTTGCTTTGGATAACTTTGGATAGCCCCAAAACTGAGTTTGACTTGTTTTTGCACAGTGCGTTACAAGCATCACGACAAATTTATAATAGCTTCTCTAAGGGTATACCCAGAAAGGAGCCCCACTGTCACAGTCACAGTCACAGTCACAGTCAAACACACACGTGACTTAACTTAACTGCTAAACTGGAGAACTGGAGAACTTACAATAATTATCAGGAATTTATAGCTGAAAGAGGTATACAACGAATAATGATGATGACGCCAAGCTTTGAAACTGAGTCCCATTCTCAATAATCGATTCTGATAGATTTTGGTAATGATAATGAGTCAAAAATGTGTCTGGCTAGGCTAAGTATTGTGTATACGTATATAAGTATATGTACCTTCCTTCATTGGGCCTTATCTATATCAATTTTTGAATTTATATTATCGACACAATCACGCTAAGCCACTGTGACTGCCAGCAGGCACTGCTTGTAAATTCGATTGGCAAATATTGCACAAATGTTTGCAAATAAATAATAAAACGAGCGTTGTCTAGTTGTACGAAATAGAAAAAAGTCGAGAGTACCCACCAACACCAGCACCAGCACCAGCACCAATCACCACTAGCACCACTGGCACCACCCGAACGCCCCTTTTCATCGGCTATCTATCTGTGCATGGCATTTGTGTTCAGAGCAAATGAGCAACGCAAACAAGCACAGTGGGTGCAATAAATATGAATCAAAAGCTTATTTAGATCATTTACAGCTCACGATTTCGATTCACGAGTAACGGCTATGATTACGATTGCGCTTACGATTCCGAATCCGAATCCGAATCGGAATCGGAATCCGATTCTGTTTGTGGGGCACTCAACTCAATCGTTTGTATTTATTTCTCATGTTTTCCATACATTTGTTGCTTTGTTTGTCTTTTGCTGTTTTGTGCTAAAAACCGCATCGCGCAAATTGCAAATGGCAATGCCAATAAATCCAAATTCGAAAATGCGAATTTCCTCAAAATAATGGCTAAGCTAATTTATTTGCACATTACAAAATAAGATGAAGCCTGACGTGAAGTGCAATGTGTGAATTGAATGATCAAAGTTTGGTCAAACGACTAGTTAATTTGTAGAAGTCCTAATTGGAATCTAGATCATATGATCACAGACAACAAGGTAACAATAAGTCGACGCGGAGATACTTTTTAATAATCATCGCAACAATTATATGCCAACTATATATGACTTGAATTGTTTGCTTTTAATGCTATCGGTTATCGATCCTTATCGATTAGTTATGTTAAGGCAGCAAACGGTGATCTACAAGTGGAGACACTGATGTGATCAAACACACAAACAAGAACTAATATATACTACATATATAAATATAATTGGATCAAACATTTCTGAATACAATCGATAATCGATACGCGAAACTGTATGTATGTCAGCATGTTGAGATTGTTTGCCCTGATAAGCAGCGGAAGAGAGTACGAATCAGCTATTGCCATGGCTCGATCACATGCGAGTGGACAAAATCAAAGTGCGACCAATTATAGAAACCCCAAAACTTCTGCCTAGGCAACAAACCACTATCAAAAGAGCACAGAATACTGTGTGTGTCTGTGTGTGTGTGTGTGTGTGTGTGCGTGTGTGCCATGTGATATTTAGGGATCGTTTATTCCCTATCATTAAGTGAGCGCGTGTTTATTGTTGTTGTTCCTCTTCTTTTTTTCTATTTATTTTTTTTATTGTTTTTTTGTTTTTTTTTTTGCTTGTTTTTTTGCCTACCCCATTTTCTTGTTTCAATTATGATTGGTGATAATTCAATTATAAGCAATTAACGGTTTGAATGAAGCGCCCATAAATATCTAGCACCAAGGGGCGAGGTATTGGTGTGTGAGGGGGTGCGGGGAAGTGGGTTGACTTAAGTGAAATGAAAAGCGATAAAGGCGAATACAAAAATCAATAAGAGCCCAAATCAATAATAATTGTGTTTTGCAAAAGCACAAATAAAGCACTTCAGGAACAATCGTCATTATCATCAATAATAACCAGTTAAATATTCGAGTACCTGTTAAAGGTTATACGCGACAAGCAACAAAAATGCATCAAAAGTACTTCAATTTGACAATTGAGAAGCATATGTAACAATAACGCGAAGCTTGAGGATTATTGTCACTCCTCAAGGACAATCGATAGTATTGAAATATTGATAATAAACAAATTGGAGGCGAATTTAAATTTCACGATACATTTCAAAATCCGACCGACTTTTCCAATGTCAAATGTCAACGGTGCACATTGAGTAAGTTTTTGTCTACTAATGATTCCTATGGCAACTATATGTTATAGACATTCGATCCGACGTATGCACCGCCCGCAGCAATGAAACGGATATAGGACAAGTTTCAGTAACACTAACAGTTTAAACTGAGTGAATTGTAGCCGACATATATATGTCCACTAGATGCACTCGCTTAGTGATATATATATATATATATATTTATACTTTATGACGTCTTTTTCAATGCGTTACAAACTAAGATGGGCTCAACATAAAACTATGTAAACCTTTCCTATATGTAATTATAATTATATATATATATATATAATGAACTTTATAGACAGCTCTCTGTCTTGATCGAGATTGAATTGAACATTTGGTGGCTTTCATACGTAGGTATTATTTGGATACCTCTTATTTTTCTTTTACGAAAATTCAAATGGAAATTCGTTAAATAGATTGTGTTGGTTATGTTTGAATCAATGGCAAAAATATAACTGTAAGACTTGTGTTGCACTTGGATTATTTGCTTGAATATAAAACTATGTGTGAATACAAATGAATTATCAGACAAAAAGATCGAGAGTGCGAGAGAGGAGGTAGTAAAGCTCCCAAAGAGGCATCAATGCCGTCGAGCTTACATTTTTGGGAGGCATATAATCATGATATACATATACATATGTACGTATAATGGACGACATTGAATTGCGTGATTACATAGCGAGGGACAGAGAGAGCGAGACAGAGAGAGAGAGAGAGAGCGAGACAGAGAGAGACAGAGAGAGAAAGAGAGAGGAGTGGTGACGTCGCCACGACAAAATTGACAACTTCAAGTGCACTGATATATCTATCGCATTGATACCAACTTAAATATATACATATATATATATATATATTTGATATGTGTATGTGTGTGTGTGTGTGTGTGTGTGAGGGTATTATTTATGGGGACTGACTGTCTACTCACTTGGTCTTATTTGCTGCTGTTGATAACGGATGGGAATCAATTCGATGACGTTGCCACCTCTACTTGCTTTAGTTTTATTGATGGCTAATGCTTCCCACTCCCAATTGGCTGATTATAGTTTATTTGCCGATTAGCGTCAATCAATTGGCCAACATAAAAAGCGGGCTAAGGTCATATATCATGTACATATATATTTTTGCGTCAAGTTGTACGTTGGTCAAATTGCTTTCCGTCTCATTCAATCTGTAATATATGCAGTTGTTCGACTCATTAACACTGCTTACCAGACACGTCTCTAACTAATTAGATACTTACGTACATACATAAATTAGTCGCACATTCATATAAATACATATACACACATATGTTTTTCTTATATAATGAACAGGAACTAGAACTCTCGATCGTCTGAGATTAGAAACTTTTTTATTTATGTGATTCGGACTATATTCAGTCTAACAGTAAATACAAATAAATTCAATGCACGCCTGATCAGAAAAAACGTTGTCGTTTCGTACGATCTTGTAATATATTCTCTGGAAAAATCAATCAAGTCGTTTCGAGTTCTTCTTTCATTTAATCAAAAATCAAAAATCAAAATCAAAGAAAAACTTGTTTGCTGAAAACAACAAAAACAAAATAAAAATTATTAAAAAAAAAGTTCAAATTACAATAAAATGAATTGATTAATTTTCATTAAGTTTTTAAATTTGAATAAGACTGTTTTTTTGGTTAGCATCTTCAATTTTGAATGCTGATTCATCAAAATTTTCGCAAAGCACTCAAAGAGAGATGTATAATTGAAATTCTCTTAAAAGCATATATGTTTCCAACAACGGAACATGTTTTTCCGTTTCGCTCTTTGTTTTTTTTTTTTGGGTTTTTTTTTTGACCATGCGATAAGACAATCATTGACAGCGAAACATAATTAAAAGCGCACGAAACAAAAAAAAAACGTTTTGTTTTATTTTTGGTGCGAACTCTCCTCACATAAGATCAATGTACTTATGATTCATAGCACAAAAAAAAAAAAAACATTTTGTCTGATTTGTGATTTCTGATTTCTGATGCGACTTATAGTTGGTCCTAGACCAAAATGATGTAAGGTCAATGCAATCATCAATCAATGCAAATGCGTCGTTGTAAAGATTTGATTTGATTGCTGCAAATGATAACTCGATTATTACACTGATTACAATTTTGAAAACTGACCTGTTTCACACATAATTTTGTTTTGTCTTGCAGCTGGCAACGCGATCGATTGAGCCATCTTTTGGCTTGCTGTTTGGAGACACGCTCAAAAATCTGAATGTGGGCACCACGGGCGCCGCGGTGATAATCAGCACGATGGATGTGTGTATGAATTTCTCGGGCCTGTTTGTGGGTCCGCTGCTGAAGGAGTTCTCCTATCGCAAGGTTGCCATCGCTGGCTCCCTGCTGTGCGGCCTGGGACTGGCGCTGACCTCATCGGCGAACACGATGGCCCACATCCTCAGCACATACGGTGTGATCAATGGCATTGGCGTCGGTCTGTCCACGTCGGCAGCATTTGTGGCATTGAATCATTATTTCAAGTACAAACGCGGCCAGGCTGTGGGTCTATCGATGGCGGGCACAGCGATGGGTATGCTGATAATGCCGCAGCTGGTGCGCATCCTGCTCGAGTGCTATGACTTTCGGGGTGCGGTCCTCTTGCTGTCTGGCGTCGCACTGAATGCCATCGTTGGCTCCGTCCTCCTGCAACCGGTCAAATGGCACATGAAAGAGGAATTTGACGATGAGGAACTGATTTGTATATCGGCGCTGCCGACGCCACAACCTCAAATGAATTTTGGAACGCCGGGCGGCGGTACAGCAGCGAATCCGCCGCCATCATTTAAGGTGATCAAAGAGGATGGCAATGAGGAGGATGCACTGCCCGAGCTGAATACGCTGCTGTTTAACAAGCATCATTCACACAACCATCAATCGATGCGCAAAAACTACTCGGAGATGGCAATGAACACAATGAACGGCTCCCGTTTGGGCCTAACCAAACGGCCAACATTTCCGCGCATCATGTCCCTGGCTGGTGTCCAATCCGCGGACGTGGGCAGCGGCAGCGGCGGTTATCCATCACAGGCCGAGGTGAATACAACGATAGTCCGATGCCGGAAGGCATCTGTCACATCGAATCTATCGTATATGGACTTCACTGGATCCATACTGCAAGTGCATCTGAATACGGGCGATGATGAGTTCGAGCGGAATGATCGCGAACTGAGGCGCGTTGGCACAGCCACTGGCAGCATATTGGGTGGACATCGCGATAGTTTCATCAAAATGAAACCCACCGAGGATGAGAAACAGCAATCGGAGCGCACCGATGAGGAGGCCAAGAAGAAGAAGACAGGCTTTTGGCGTCGCTTTGCCGATCTGCTGGACATTGCCATGCTCAAGGACAAGATGTTTCTCAATCTGCTGTTTGGCCTCTCCATTTTCTATGTGGCCGAAATGAACTTCAAAATGGTGACGCCCTTCTTCTTTGCCAATCTCGGTTACTCGAAGAGTGACGTCGCCTACTGTCTATCGATAACGGCCATTACGGATATTGCGGCACGTATTGTGCTGCCGCCACTGTTTGACAGGACGACGATCAGGAAACGGACCATCTTCTTGGTCTCGATCATTTTTGTGGCACTCACGCGTTCCAGTAAGTTGATAGATATCTGAACGATTTACCCGCAACACATTTTATATCTTTATTATTTATTGTTATTTTACTTTCTTTGTGTGCAGTTATGGCCGAGCAAACGGAATGGAATCAGCTTATGATCTGGCTATCGATTTGCGGCTTTTTCCGTGGCTCAGCATTGAGCAATTTTACACTGACCGTCTCCGAGTATTGTTCGCTGGAGAAGCTGCCATCGGCCTTTGGATGGCATCTGGTTGGCAAGGCTGTATTTGTGATCAGCTTTGGGCCATTGATTGGTGAGTCGGTTGTCCTTGCATCGACTTAAGTTGGACTCGTATCTCTAATTGCAATTATCATTTCTGTTCCAGGTCTGATTCGTGATGTGAGCGAGAGCTATCCGATTTGCATACACGCTCAGAGTGTTTGCATCATGATATGTGCTCTGGCCTGGAGCATTGAGTATCTGGTGGAGTTTGTCCAATCACGTCGCCGCACTGGCGATGCGGCACAGCAGATGCCCACACAGGATACACCAGCAGCAGCTGGAAGTGAATCTGGAGCGGCAGCGGCAACGGGAGCGGCAGCGGCAGCGGCAGCGGGAGAAGCACCAACGGCGGAAACGGCAAGAAAGGATGCCAAGCTGTAATATATATATATATGGCCAAAGAGATCAAGAGAGGATTATCAGATATGCATATAATTAATTACATCGATCCAACTCATTATTCAACTGAAACTAAATGCAAACTACTTATTACTTAATTACTTCGATAGATTATGTACCTAAAACGTTACGTTATTTGCAATTAGAAATTCATAAAGTGAATGTTCCGATCAGCCCAGCAGCAATCATTCTTAGTTTACTGACTCTGTGTGCCTACTACTTATCAAGATCAAGAATGCAATTAAAAATGAGAGGAACAGAAACTAAAAATAAAAAATATATATATATATATATACATCCTTAATCAATTTATATTTTGTTCGTGAATAGAACGGTTGCTTCATATACATATATATATACATATACATATACATATACATAACATATGCAACGCAACCCCCAAACACCTCCTGAACAAATTGTGTATTAAACTTAGCTTTGTTTGGTTCTATTCGCCGGTTTTCTTCCTTAGTTCGATATATCGGAACAAGTAAACAATTAATTCTTGATATCATTCATAATTCTAAGTATAACATGTCTCTATTATTATTTTCTCTCTCTCTCTCACTCTGTCTCTCTCTCTCTCTCTTTTGTTTATTGTATGAACTTGTATGTGATAGTTCAAAGATAGTTGATAAGTTAGATATTTAAGGATAATCATATGTCAAAATATTATTATGAACAACAAGGCATCAAAGCAAAAATAACAAAACTGGCTTTAAAATTGATATAATGTACCTTTTTAAATTGAAATTAAGAATGACCACAACAACAACAAAAAAACAATACCCAACATACACTACCTATCTATATTTATATGGATATATATCTATATATACCTAAATAAACAAACGAATGTGTAACTGGAATTTAAATTGATTTATCAATTGGCCAACAAGCAATTTATATGCCTATTTACATATATACCTATATACCTAGACCTATATACACAAATATATACACAAATTTAGTTAAATCACTAAGCATACAAAGTGTACAAAATGTATTGTATGCTTAGTGGCTAATGCCAAGTTGAGTGAAATGCGTTAACTGAATGAAAGTTAAGTTGAAACATTGTTCAGATAACCAAACAGGAATATTTGTCAAGCTAGTAGGAAAGCAAATGCCTATATTACAACCATTCCCCACATCCCCAAGGGTTCAAGAGGTTGCCAAATTGCGAGGTAATGCTAAGAATAATGTAGTAGAGAGGGACAGCGATAGATAAGCAAACCAATCCACCCACAGCAAACAAACATAATCCCAACCCAGAGATATGTATTACAAATAAAAGATGAAATCTGCCTTAGATATTTTGATAAGGCCAATAAAACGGCAGACGACTACATTATAATATATATACAAACAAATATAAGATTTGCATAACTCGTTGTAGATGAAATTTGATAAATGTATTGCGATAACTGCTTTGCCAGACTTGGGTTAAAATGCCTTATTGTAAGATAGTAGCATATACGAATGCTAAACTGACAAAATCGGAAAGCAATAACTAATGCTGTCTATATAGTAGATGCCATGACCAAAAAGAAAGAGAAAACTTTGTAGCTAACTATTTTGAGTGGAACCACTGTACGGACATGCCACACCATGCCACCACCACTGGTAGTAGTTGTAGTTGTAGTTCTAGTGGTAGTCGTAGTAGCTGAAACCGTTAACAAATAATACGCATACCACACATGTACTTAAAGGGGTGCATAGAATTTTATTTTTGTTTTTTTTTTTACATATATATATATATATATATATATATATATTTACTAATATATAATTACGTTAAGAAAATGTTATCTTTTGGATATGCATTGCAGATATTGTAGCCTTACACATATATTACATGTATTACTACGTATATGTATGAAATTTAAATAAAGTGATATAATAAAGAAAAACATACATTTATTAACTATTGTGGTTGTTCTGTGATGGTCGCAGATCGGCTTCAATCAATTTCTATGCAGTTTAGTTTCTCTCAGATGGGATACGACTTTGATGAAACTTGGTCTTCTTTGATTTCTGTTCTATTTAATTCTTTTCGAATATTAACAACAAATTAAAAAAATGTTCACCACAAAAACCATAATAAGCTTTTAGGTTCCATAACAAGCAATTAAAAGATATAATGAATTACATTTAGCGTTTCTCAATACTCACAATCAATTGACGATAATATGAGAAATAAGAAAATTTACTGCTCCCATTATTATTTCAAATTTTGAAGTACCATGAAATGGTAATTGAAGCAATTGAAATGTGCCCAATCTATGCCAATGGTTCATATATATTTATATATATATATATATTTATATGTATACACATATATGATCAAATAAACCTCGCTTCTCTAATTACAATTAGAAGGCCTTATATCCGTTAATCGCATATCATGTGAAAAGAGTAAGAATATCAACTTAAGTGGGTAGCAAACGCTAAAAGATAACACAAATATTTCCGAGAAATCAACAATTGTGCGAGCAATCACTGTCTCTTTCTGTATCGCAATGCTGCAATAATTATATTGTTATAGAGTTACAGTTACAGTTGGACATTTACAACGATCTTGGCCACAATTTAGTGGCCCCTCATAAAATTGGCGAGGAAAATAAACAAATGCGAGAAATGCGTGAAGAGTAAATTTAAATATGAATAAATTACATGTGACGTCGAGGGACGTTTCCATTTAAATGCTGAAAACAAATCAGTGAAGCACTGGCACTAAATTTCATTGGGATTTCAGTTGTCAGTTGACAACTGCAGTCGGAGACGAGGACGGAACAGTTGGCCTCTCTATGCGCCGTTAGAGAGTTGTTGTCACCAACAATTGGAGGCTGTATTTGAATGTGTTTTTCTTCTTTTATTTTTTTGCGAAGGAAATCTCAAAAATACATTGTTCAAAAACAAATATTCATTGTAGAAATGGGGCTTGGCACGGAAGTTGGCAACATCTCTGCTGGTGGGATGCAATGCACAGTTGAAAAAATGTCTTTCATTAATCTAATCAAATGTACTCTTAGGGCTTACATGAGACATCGCAATAAAACCAAATTGCTACTGTCAGCTGCTATCTAACTGCTAATGCCAATGATAATGCCCACAATGTGATCACTCAACCCACGGCATCCGAGCAGCTAAGATGACGGCGACAGCATTACGGCCCAAATTGAAGTCCTACCAACTGGTGGCACCCGACGGCGGCTGGGGCATCCTCATCTGCATTGGCATGGCAATGCCCTTTGTAAGTGCCAACAACAATCTGAACAATGTGCAGAAAATCATTTATTATGTGTTATTTATGGACATACATCCGAACAACTTCAACATAGTTATCAGCATAATCATAGTTTTAGTGGTCTCGAAAAAAAATCGTGGTCTTAAAAACGCAAGATAAAAAATTGTTCTTTTTTTTTATTATGTTAAAAAGTAAGGATAAGGCGATAACCTCGAAAATTGGTAGTAAAAAAAGACATGGTAGAATAATAAACTTACTATCATAAAGAAGCAGGGGATTATTTTCGATGTTAGTTTATTCATCCACCCAGTCTTTCTTATACCTATTTTCAAGGGAGTGTTAATTTCGGAGAACCACTCAGCCCGAAACCAAACGAATTAAACGACAAGTTGTGGTTTAAACAAGATCTTAGAGGAAGTTGGCCAGAAGTCCTGCAAGTGGTTCGACATGGTCAGAAAGTTTCAACGTAGGAATTTTAAGCAATCTCCTGAGCGCACTTTAGAAACATATTTCAACAGCCAATGAAGACTTCGCTTGTATAGCAATACTAATAGCTACACAAAATGATCTCAAAATGTGTATCCAAAATATATGTCTATGTATAATGTGTCTTACAGGTCAGTGGATTGGCAGCGCTACCATCCTTTGGCTTGGTCTTTGGCGACTTTCTGAAGAGTATTGGGGCCGAGACAAGCGCCATTGCTGTTATAACCAGCACGTTCTTTTGTGCGATGAGCTTTGCCGGATTGTTTTCCGGCTCGCTGTTTCGTCGCTACGGCCTACGACCGGTGGGTTTGGCCGGCGGTGTTCTCTATTTTGTTGGCACAGCCATGCAGATATTTGTGACGTCAACGCTGCAGTTGACCTTGGCGTTTAGCGTGTTGCAGGGCAGCGGATTCGGTTTGATTGTGCCCACCAGCTACACATCGTTCAACGATTACTTTGTGAAGAATCGTGTGATGTGGATGAGCTTTGCTCAGACGCTGATTGGGCTCGGTTCGATGATCTATCCGATTGTGATGCAGAAGTTGCTGCAATGGTATGGCTTTCGTGGCTGCCTCCTGGTGCTGACAGCGATCAATGCACATGCTATTCTGGGCATGCTGCTCATGCAACCAGTTAAATGGCATATGCGGCGTATCCCATTGGAGGAGGAAGAGCAGCCAATTCAATCGCCGCCGGTCGTCGTCCATGTGCAGCCAGAAACGCCACTGCAGACGATACCAGAGCTGATATTTGCGCCGAGACCAACAAATGGTGATAAACAGATTGTCACAGATTCGTTGCCCGTCTCGAATCTGGCTTCTCGGCGAGTGTCACGTATCGAAGAGCATTCGCTCAACATTATTTCCAGTCGCGCCTCGAGCATTACCAGCCTGGGCAACTGGTCGGGGCCGATCGTTGTTAGCGATGCCTCGCCACAAATGATGCACAGCTTGCAGACGTCGCGACGCCAGAGTGTTGTCAGTGGTGGTGCTAATCCACAGCAGGCCATCGTCGATGAGAAGTCAACTGAAGTCAAGAGGAGCTGCTGCGGCACCATTGTCGATTTCCTCGATCTGACGCTCTTCAAGGATCCCATCTACGTTAATATTGTGCTGGGCATTACGTTCGCCCTGTACTCGGACCTCTCATTTTTCACCATACAGCCGTCTTATCTATTTGAATTGGGTTACACCAAGGTAAGGTTATTTGCCTACTTTTACAATTCTTAAATATTGCATTTTTGGCAAACCTTGAAGCCATTACAAATTGCCAAAGAGGATGTAAGGAAATTGTGCCAATATATGAAACAGACTGAAGGAATCATCTCCCATCACAGCCGAGTTAAGTCAACAAGCTGATCTCAGATATGAGCGAGGGTCGCGCTCTCATTGGCCATCAGGACCTCATTCTTGCTCAGACATGCCTAATTAATCGTATGTACTTGTGTACACACACATATGCACATACTGTACACATTTTATAGACAATTGCTATAAAAGCCGCACAAAAACCGTTGCTTTTGGCGTTGCCATATCTAAAAAAAAAGAGGCCAGGGCTTCAATACTTCACGAATCATTTAAAATAATTGCTTGCAATATAATTCACAATTTATTTTAAATTTTAGGCTGAAACGGCAAATGTTATTGCAATCGGAGCCGCTGCAGATTTGCTATCAAGAATTTTTCTAGCAGTGACAGCAATTTTTATTCAAGTTCCTGCCCGTTACATTTACTTGGCTGGAGCGCTTTTCACAGTTTTTGCCAGATTTGGTGGGTGACATTCTGTCTATTCGCAAATAATATTTAACAACTTTACCCATTATGATCGCAGGTCTCGGGGGCATCACCAATTTTGTGGGCATGGCCTCCATTACGGCCGTACTTGGATTTTTACGAACCTGGATACATGTTCCACTCCCGTTGGTATTTGCCGACTATCTGCCAAAAGAACGGTGTGTTTTATTGAATAGCAACGCGCACATCCCGAAATTCTTAAATCAATGTTGCTATTTTATTTGTTTTTAGCTATGCCAGCGGTTACGGCCTATTTATGTTCACACAGGGTAATGCGATGTTTTTGATCGGGCCGATCGTTGGCTATATACGAGATCGCACGCAGGATTATTTGCTAGTCTTTAACATATTGAATGTGTTCATGGCCATGTGCGCTGTTCCCTGGATCATTGAGTTGTTGTTGGTCAAGTTTCGTCGGCGCAACCGAATCGAACGTAACAATGTCTGTGAGCAGACAAATGACATTAATAACACAATGGTCCGGTAAAAGTAGGAATTCATATTGTAATAAAATATACATAAATAAAACCAGTTAACGTTAAACATTTGAATAAATTCAAGCTAATAGATGAAACAAATGTTTATTATGCTTATTATCATACTCTTTTATGTATATGCAAAAGGTTATTCACCTTGCATGTATTATTAAAAAAAAGAAGAAAAAAACTACAAAATATAAAATTTGAATTTTTAATTAGCGCTGGGCTGTGCAATGTCATAGCAATCAGGTTTTGTTCAACAGCAAGCAGCTGAGAGTTTAACATGCTATGGTCACACTCGAACGCACAGCATATATTTGTTTTGCTTATTAAATTTTGCACGATTTTAACTTGTCCTTGTCCATAATATACAAAACTAGAATTAAATATAGATACTACAACAAATGGTATTGCAACAAATCAAAATGCTGCTGCTGGGCATTGTGACACTGTGCCGGCGAGCGCTCTGCTGTTTCTCGCGGCGCCGCAAGCTCAGCCACGGCGGCAACGATCAGCTGCAAGCGGTGACAATTGGCGACTTTCCAGCAGCAACAGCAAAATCGACGGCACATGGCAAGGAGCGCGACTGGAACAGCTGGGACGACAGTCCGCGCACCGTCGAGGAGCACATCGAACAGTATCGCCAGCGCATGGCCCAGCCACCCACGCCGCCCAAAGAGGAGCCCGAACCGGACTTCTTTAGTGTAAGTGCCCGCTTCGGATTGCACTTCTGAGTCTTCGGCTCTGATTTGCTTGTTTCAATTTGTTGCAGGAACTGACGCCGGACATTAAGCCGCAATTGAAATACTATCTCGGCGATGCGACAGCGGCAGCGTCACCAGCGCCAGCGCCAACTGATTTCTCAAGACTGAAAGCGACCGACATGGTGCCCATTAGCTCAAATGTAAGTCAATTCTTACAGCAGCAATAGTTGTTCTTCCTGCTAAGCTAATCCGCCAGTAATCTTCCCATCCCTCTCTCTCTCAACTTGGATCGCTTCCAATAATGAGTATCTTATGGGACATAAACCAATAAGATATATTTTCGAAAAACTGTAAAAAGAAAACACGTCGCTTTATATATTCTGATACATTCTGATATATATATAGCTAAAACATTCAAAGCTTAATGTTAAATGTTAAATGATATTGATAATTGCAGGCTGATCTCGAGGATTGGGTGGACGACAATGCCGGCGGCTGGGAGGAGCTGGACACATCGCAAACGAAACACATTATGCGAGAGAAGCGTCGCGAGATGCGACATCAGCGACCAGCGCCAATTAAAGCTCAGGCGCCCAGCATTGGCGCCCAGCGGATTAGCGATGTGCAGCGGATGGCGTAGTAAATAATGAAACAAACACACACAGACACAAACACACAGACACACACACACAGACACACGCTCGATGCACTTTTGCCTCACTGTGCCTCTACGTTTCATTCCACTTGTAATTTTTAATATTAAAAAAAAAACAAATCAAAACAAAACAAATGAAAAAAGTTTGTTAACAATTTGGCCTTAGTTTAATGACGCCCCGCCGCCACGTCCTGATTGAGTTTTTCACCATGGTTGGCCACACACATACATGCATATAGATAAGTATATATGTATAAAGATATATCTTCATATATATATACATATATATATCTTTGCCTTTCATTCGCACTTCCTCTGCAGCGGCAGCAGCAGCAGCAGCAGCAGCTGGCGCTTATTGCATCCATTTCCTGACGCGCCACTGCGGTTGCCAATTACCCAATGACCAATCAGTGCAATCTGCATGGACACGCTTCACTGGATGCATGGATGCAGATGCAGATTTATGGATGGATTGTATAAAAAGGCAGGCAGGTCTCTGGCGCAGCGCTTTCATTTGAAATAATGTTGCTGGTGCTGGTGTTGATGGTAAGCGCGGTCGTCGGCTACGATCACAGTGTCAACTATTGGCAGGCCTTTGCTCCCGGTAAGCTGCTGCAGCGCTTGGATGCACTCACCTCGCCCACGACGGGTCAGTTGAACGTCTCGGCCGCGGAGCTGCCACATGCGCAGCCCAAGCTGGATGAAGATGCGGATACGGTAGAGGAAACGGATGTTGATGTCGATGTCGATGTGGATGCCATTGAACATGATCATGATTATGATGATACTGATGATGATGACGTGGAGGCAGAGACAGAGGCGGAGGAGCTGGAGGCAGACAGTCACAGCGCTGAGGCTAACTCTGGCGAAGATTACGAGCGCAACTACGAACAATTTGTGCGCCAATACTTTGATCGAGCTGCTGACGATGATTATGCTGCTGATGATGACGATGCCGTTGACGAGCATGCGAAAGACGTGAGCGTGGAGACGCAAGCGGAGGCCAGCAACGTGCAGCCCGAAAAGAAACTGAAGAAGCTGCAAATGGAGGAGAAGCAAAAGCAAAAGCAGAAGGAGAAGGAGAAGCAAAACTGTCGCCACGTCCATCGCCAGGGACAGCTATGCAAAATATGCCGCGAGAAGCGCAACAATGAGATCTCCGAGACATGCAGCTATTCGCACGAGGCACAGCCGGAGCAATATGCTTACGGCAGTGGCACCGAATACAAACGCTATCGGGATCATGATGATGATGAGCGAACAAAACGACGACGGGGACGTCACACAAAAACCAAGCAGAAGGAGAAGCAGAAGGAGGAGCAGAAGGATAAAGTGAAGGAGAAGCAGAAGGAGCAGGTGACTCCCAGCAGCAGTCTGTGCGAGCGTCGCCTGGTGGGCAAAAGCGTCTGCTACGAGTGCAAGGATAGTGGTGGTCAGATTTTGAGACGCTGCTATGATGCCGCCACAAGTAAGCAGAGCAGGAGCACAGCCAATCTGCCGAATGCCAGGGAATCCAAGCAGGAGCAGCGCATTTACAAGCGAACCATTAGCTACAGCTACGCGCAGGGCGGCAATCATGCAAATGACTATAATGATAATGACAACGATAATGATGACATCATAATGACCACAACACCACCCATAAAACCACCCACAACACCACCGACAACATCACCCACAACACCATCAGCAACAACAGCAGCATCCACTCCGAATGTGAGCCGCAGATTGGCCAGAATAGTTCGTAGACGTGTCGGAATCCCAGCCAGCATCGCTATTTGAATATTGCTTTGATACTATTATTATTATTATTATAATTTTTTTTTGTTTTTTGTTTAAGTTAATCAACCAATTATGGAACAAAGTTAGTTGCCACAATCTCGATTATTTCTTTGCTACTATTTAAGCCTTAATAAAAGAAACCAATTTTCTGAAATTATTTCTTTTTCTTGATAAATATAAACTTGATTCAATTAAAGTTCCCTTTGCATTTTCCAAGTTTATAGTAGCTTATCAATGTTTTAGATACAAATAAGTATAATAAAAGTGGGTTGATTTGACATATTTGATAAAGCGCTTTATTAGAAAAATATCTGAGTAAAATATTGTTTAGTACATTATATGGTATAGTATACGGTATATGTTGAGTATAGTATAATCGTTTAGTCTATATGTATATAAATATGACTATCCTATGGCTGAGGTCCATCGGCGGATAGGTTATTGCCATCGGCAGTCGGTGGTCGACTTTCGCAACTGTCCTCGCCGCTACTGGTTGTGGATGCGCCCTCCTCTGGCGAGGTCTTGGCTGCTTCATCGGCTTCCTGGCAGTTCGCTTGGGCACTGATGTTTGGCTGTTCGCTCTCCTCGGCATCAGCTCCCTTTTTGTTCTGTATGGGTTACGAGCATATATATATAGATATATATATATATATATATTTTATTTATTATATTTTAATTTTTAGTTAGTCGACCTTTTTTCGTTTTTTGGGCTTCTCCGCTTTAACAGCATGCAATTCGGCCTCTTCTTGCAGGGCTGATTTGTAGCTGGGGGGAAAAAACTTGGCTGCTTCCTTATGGCCAACAACCGAATTGGGGCTAACATAGCTGGGCCCATATTCCATTAGCAGTGGTATCGTGGCTGTCGTCACTTTGTTAACTTTCAGCACAATTTTATCGGTGCTTCAATTTGCAAATAATAAAATATATATTTTTATTGATAATCAACCAAATTGAATGAATTACTTATCGATTGCTTACGGTACATATGGCTTGGCGTTATATTTCTCCACGGAATTGGCTATAAAAACTGCAGTCTGTGGATTATCGCTGTTGAAGAAACCATAGAGCGGCACATCATCCTTGCACGCATCCACAAGATTAATCAGATCCTTTTTCTTATAAGCATCAAAAGTCATGATTATGTGAGGTGGCTCTGGCGCTGGATCGGCGGCCAGAAAAGTCGTTGTTTGTGCCCGGAAATATATGTAGATGAGGGCCGCATGCGTTCTCTGGTCAGTTGGCACCCAAATGGGCGGTATTTGAATTACCTTGAATTTCACTGCGTCCTCTAGAGCATCCTGCTCAGCTTCAGGACTTTCCTCCAATGGCTCTATCGTATTTTCAGGCGTGTCTTTCTCTAAATTAAATAGATATGTATATATGTATGTATATATATATATATATATATATATATACTCACCTTCTTTTGCAGCCTCGATGGTTATCTCTAGGGGTATTATTAGAGGTGGCAGAATAGTTTCCTCTTCGTTGAACTCATCGGGCGGCTTGACGATCTCCTTTGTTAGCTCAAATGCATATTGCTGTAGTATATTTGGTGGCGTTCCGATCGTTTCATCCACTTTCCAGAAGCACATTAATAGCTCCTTGTCGTACAGGTACTTCATGACATCAATGGGCAATGGATTCTCGGCAGCAAAGTTCACCGTATTGAGATCACTTTGTGTTATTGCAAACACTTTACGATCTTTGCATTGAATTTTGAGTGGATCGGCTGGCTCGGAGAGCTTCTTGAACATATCCCGATTGACTTGTGGCCCAAACACCGTTATGCCAATATCCGGCAAATTCTCCATAATGCTATCCGTCACATATCTCAAATACTCGATGCGCTTCTTTTTACTCTCCTCGAGCTCTATTTTTGCGGCCAGCTCGAGAGCCTCGTTTTTAATGCGCAACTGTTCCAGCTCAATGGGCTGCAGCTCGGTGATTTCAAAGGTTTCGTGCGGCTCTTTGGCAATGGTTGACTCCAGCTCTCTGGTGATTAGGGCGACCAGTTTCGGCACATCTGTGCCAAACATAATGTTTATAGCCTTTCCATTCTGCACACACATATAGATAAGAAAATTCAGCGAATTATCGCCAGACATGTGTGGTGTGTAGTCAGAACTTACTGCTACAAACATCCAGGTTGGCTCACTTTTCTTGTTAAACCTTTCCAGATACGATATCGAACCAGCTTTGCACTTGGGTAAATAATTTCGAAGTTAGCTCTCATCTCTCTTCTCACCTCTCACCTCTCGCCACTCAATTTCAATTCAACTTACAATTGCCAGCTGCAAGTTGTCGCCGCCCAGCTCGAGTTTTATTTTGCGCAGACTGCCCACCATGCCCAGACAGGGTCCGCACCATTCCGAATATATATCCAGCACTGCAATATAACTGCATTATCATCATTTTTTGTGTTCATTTATGTAGCAGACATACCAAGCAGACCGGGCCGCTGTAGAAACTTTTCAAACTCCTCATCGCTGCTGATATCCGCCTGTAATTGCTGAACACCGCCTTTCTTTGCCATTTCTTGCAAAATGACTCGCATTATTTTTGGGGTTTGCATTTTTGGCACAGGTTTTTATGCATATCAGCGCATAAATTATTGATTAAACTTTGCGCATTGCAGGCATGGCCGATGTTGTCAGGCTAACGCATAAGACCAACAGCTAAAAAATACAATACAACTCAACACCCCTCCCCATCCCCTCCCTCAGTTCAAGTGAACGACGAGATAGCTTGCAGGCGATAAACCGGTTCTGAGCCACTCTGTACCACTCTGCTATTATTATTATTATTATATTATGTACAAAGACCTATTAAATTTGTACTTGACTCTTGTCAACGAAATTCAACTTGATTAAATAATAATAATTATATATTGGAAAAACAAAGTCTGCCTCAGCAAATAAACGAATTTCATTTATCTTGTCTCTTGTCGCCGCATCGCAGTTTTTTAATTTAGAAAAGAAAATCGATAAAAACTCAGTTTGTTGACCTGTTGGGATACCAGGGAAATCCGTTGGGTACATTGACCGCCTCTGTCAGTTGATACCAAGATACCAAGAAACAAAAAAAAAAATAGTTTTGGTAATATTTCATAGAATTGTTTCAATGATTTATAGGTTTCTGTAGATCGTTAACTTCAATTTCCAGTGCAAAAACGCATAATACGTATACGTAATACAAAAATACACACAACACACAATATATGTACACATAGATACACGAGATGTACAAACAAATATGCAAACATATACATACATACATACATATAGATATTTACATATATATATATCTAAAATACCAATTGTATGGCTTACAAGTTTTAAAATGAAATTAAGAATTAAAAATGGATGGTGGTAGACACAGTTCTGCGCTGGCCAATATGGAAATGGAGCTGGAGAAGTTGCTCCTTTGCATCGCCCTTATGTTTTTTTTTTGTTTTTTTTTTTTACAGGACCAAGCGAAATGGAAACCTTGTGGTGACGCTATGCCTCCTGGGAATGATGCTGATTCGCTTTTGATTCTATTTATTTATTAATGTATTTGGTTTTGGATTCGCACTTTTGTTTTAGTTGGTCTCAGTTGCTGATGGTATATGTTGGTTAGTCGGTTGGTTGGTTATAAAGAACAGTGTTAAGCATAAAATGTGCTTGACTAGACGCAATTTTACAGTAAGCAGAAAGCTAATGCTGCTTATTCCAGACCGAGCATCCAATTGATGCCTTGTACTATAAAAAATATAAGTGGCTGCCAAGCGACCAGCCAACGAATCCAGTCCAGCAGTCGACCATAAAGCATATGCGGCTTTTCCCAACTGCAATCGGATACATAATAACTATAGCAAATAATATAAATACCATAATAGAGGTAGCTACATACGGATTGCGAAACATTTTCTGCAGATCGACCTTCTCTTTGCAATAGGGACACGTCTGCTTCTTGCCGACAATGCACCAGCCTCGTATGCAGAACTCGTGGAACACATGATTGCAGGACAGCTTGTAGGTATTCTCGATGACGCCCTCCTCCTTTTCGGAAACCAGCAGCTTATTACCACACACAGCGCACACATTTTGATCCAAATGGCGAGTGGGCATGCCCTGTGGCGAATAGTACTAAACACAAATGGATAGATACAAGTACAATTACAAAATTGGATATTGACTGGTTAGCAATTAAACGGACTACTTACACCAATGGCAGCGGCCATTTTGTCTGAACAAATCTCGGATATGTCGCGACCAAGTACACCAATGTATAGGCCATAGAAACAGAACATTAAACCGACATCCATCCATGTGTTGGGCGGCTGAGAGAATACATAGTTCATGCCCAAAAAGGCGGCCATGATCACCAGATAGCCGACAATGCCCAGGCCATAGCTTAGCTTGTAGATGAAGTAGAACCATTTATAAACGAGTCTGTGAAATACAAAACAAAAAAGATAAGAAATCTAAAGAGTGGAGCCAGAAATCAAGTTGGTAATCATTTTACCTGGGCGTTGTGCCTTGTATGGGCTTAGTTGTGGCGCGCCGCATGACCAGCGATGTAATAGTTGTGAATATTATCCAGATGATGATAAAACGTATCCAGAGGAAGGTGCATGAGATAACTAGCGGTATTAGCCACATGGCCAGCAGTGTGACAAATGCATAGGATCTGTAGTGCCGTTTCTTCCATTCGACGAGGATGATCTGGGCAATGACTAGCGTCATAAACAGTATGATAACCATTTCCGAGTGCATGGCATCGTGGCCTTTATGCTTCTCCACCATCAGCTGGTGCTCGGCGCTGTCCATTGCATATATTTAGATAAAAATATATAAATAGAGAGAGAGAGAGTGGGAAACATAGAGAATGAGAGAGAGAAAGCGAGACAGAAAGAATCGAAGTTTTTGTTCTTTGGCAATTGCAGACTGAACCATCAGGAGATAAGAATTTAAGCATTGCTTACCGCATCCGCTCCTCCGGCGACATTTCGTCAAGGGACTAGAAAAGAGGCAGATTATATTATTAGCCCTTACATATATACACATTTATACATACATATATACATGTATATATTGATGTACCCTCACCTTGTTCAAGTCCACCGGAGCATGGAGATCCATGTGTTGTTGATGCATGCTGTCGCTGTGTGCCGGCGCGTACAAACCAGGGCGTCGTCTGCGTCTTTGCGGAATTTTGTCAACAATTCGTTTCTTTTAAACTTGCACAATTAATTTAGGCAAACGGAAAACAAATAATAATGGCAACATTACATATTGTCGCTGTTTGCCTGTCACTGTCATTGCCCTTTGGTACTAACCGCTTGATGGCGTTGCCATTTGTCATTTGCTGCCTGCAGCCAAATGAAAACAGTACAAAAATCCACAGACCCCGCGTTGCAAACTTACACATGCACATACGATCCAAAACTTAAATGCATAATGCGTTAAGTTGGCTAACCAACAATATGTAATAGAAAAAGTTAAAACAAATAAATCAAGTGTAACGTGTACAACGAGCGTTGCCACGTATGTGCACTGCTAACAGCTGTTCGATTGCCGGTCGTAAACATTTCAAACGCTTCGCAACACTACCACCATTTATTATAAACTGAATGGCAACAGATAATTGAAATACAATAAATAACAAAATTATAATGCTAAGAAAACACTGGGGCGAAATCGAAGAGGAAGGCAGTGATATTACTCTCGACAAATATGTGCCCACGTCCGGCAAAAGACCAAAACTTGGTGAAATACGGCAGCGTGGCGATCCGCTGCCACAGGATAAACAGTGAGTTTGGGGAGTAGGTCTTTAACCGGTGCATATTGATTTATATATGCATATGCATATGTATATATATATATATAGCGAAAAATTGGAACTGAAGAGTTCCCTGGTCACGCAAACCATCGAAGTGATGAAACAAACAGAAGTTCTTCAATCCCTAATCGACACCTAATCCAGCAAAAACGTTAGCTTAATTAAACGCTCAGTGTGACTGAACACAATTATTATTATTAATGATAATGATAATAATAGCAGTGCAACAACCGGCAGCAGCACCATGAACAACATTGTCAGTGACATGCTGCAGGAGCTGGGCGGCAGCACTAACTCCAGTATCTCCCTCAGCAACCTGAGCAGTGGTCAGCAGCAAATACTGAACACCAACGCTTTGTACGGCCTCCTCGACGGCCAAACGAGTAATGTCAGCTCCAATTTAACTAGTTCGACCACTTATCAAAATAATTTCGATACTTGAGCTGTACTTGTAGGAAAAAGGTGATCGGTAAACTGACTTTAAACGCAGCGGTGGACACGAGAATATATTAATTTGATTATTTAGTTATTAATTTACTGTATAACATTAACATAAGTTAATCTCATGAATGTTTCTCCTCAGCTCAAATGACTCTTGCATGTACGTACGTACATACGTTGTCACAAATATACAATTATCCACATTTGCGGAATAAATTTGTTCTTGTCTATTTTTTTAACATGTCATTTGTAAGGGGCGTTTAATCGGCAGCTTCTAAAAATATTCGCATTTGTGTGTCCTCGACGGAATCAGTATTAATATTTGTATTTTGTTTTAGAAATTCTGTGCTCACCAATCAGGGTAATACGTTTATCGATATCGGTAAATGGGCACTTATACTTCGCTACGATAACGATAGCCACATGGGCCAACTGACCAACACTGTTCACACACCCTATTAACGGTAAATTTAGTAAATAAAATTCAAAATAAAGAATAAAGCTTGTTATAAATAATATTTATTTAACTTTTTAAATAGTAGTGGATTTTAGGTTAGGTTAATTACGCCACCGAGCTGCACAGACCACAATTGCTAATGGGGCACATTTTCATTTCAGCATCTTCGCCAACGCGCACAACAGCAGCCATGCCATTCTCCGAGTGCGTCGATATGTGACAGTGGAATATCCAATAGCCGGGACTGTTCGAGTTGAAGTGAATGATCGTATAGCCGAACGCTGGCACCTGCACCGAATCCTTCAACGGTGCACCGCGTCCACGACGCGGTAACGGTGTCCGACGATCGATTTGCTCGATCTGTCCAATGCGCTCCTCGCCGAGCACACCCATGCCGACCACACGAAACGTGTAGCCATGCAAATGGATGGGATGTGCCGTATTCGATTTGCTGGAAATGACAAATTCGACATTCTTATTCGCCGGCACATTGATGACATTCGAGCACTTGCAGTGACGGCTGCGGCAGTTGAAGCCAAGCGACGCCTGCTGCGAACGGTTGCAGAAGAACTGGCCAATGCCCAGGTTGCGTGTCTGTAGCAACGACATCTTCGGCATGGTGAAAGTGATGTCATCCATTTGAAACCGAAAACCTTCGCCCTGTAACTGAAACGCATTCATGCTCGTGTAATAGGTCGTAGCCGGATTCAGGGACGGCTGCAAATGGTGTGCGTTTAGGGAAACCAGCGAGATGCTCTCGGCACTGTCGCCACCAGCATCGTCGCCCAGCTCGTTGAGCATAATGCCCGGCGCATCATATGCGTAGCTCAATGTGCTTGTGTCCAAGTCGTGCGGGTCTGCGTTATGGTAATGCAGGATGGCCTCCTGATGCAGCTGATTCTTGGCACAGAATGTGTAGCCCTTGATGCGGAGCCAGTAGTTGGCTACCTCCTGATTGGCGTGCAGCACAAAATCGAAACGCTCGGCCCCATGGAACATTATCTTCTGCACCTCGATGGGCTCAATGTCATTGCCATCAGTCGATATCACCACCAAGTCGTGTTTGTCAATGCTCAGGCTTATGGGACAATTGGAAACGCCTGTAAATATGTAAATATATACAAAATAAATATGTGATTTCGCCTCTGGTTGGGGACTTGACTCACCATTGAAGATGACACGGAAACGATAGCGACCGCCTCGAACGACCTGGAACATGGAATAGAGTGTGGGCATAGATCTGCTGTCCTTTTTCATGTTGCGACCGCGTCCGTTGATGAGAATATTCTCGGCGATGCTCTCGTCGAAGTTGTGCACCCAATCCTGTATCATGATTACATGCTCCGTTTGATCGTAGTCGTAGAGATGTGCATGGGGATTCAATTTGATGGGTTGGCGCACAATCAGAGGCCCCGCCAAGCCAAAGGCGCGCTGATGTTCGGTGTGGCTGTGCCACCAGTTGGTGCCCACATGATCCACCTCGAAGCGATAGCGGAACGCTTGCCCGGCCTCAATTGGATACTGGGTGACATGCGGCACACCGTCCATGTGCGGCGTCGATCGCTGATGAATGCCATGCCAGTGGATTGTCGTCGTCTCGTGCATGCTGTTGATCACATCCGCAACGATGGTGTCGCCGTAGCACACATCAATCGACTGACCCGGAAGCTTCCCGTTGACCACCATTATGAGAGACTCCAGTCCGTCGGCGTATTTACAATCATCGTTGGCAGGTTCCTCTGCGAGCAGCTTGAATCCATCGATGTACTCCTTGCCGTTCAGCTTGAAACGGTATTTCGATTGTAAATAGCGTTTACAGGTCTCCGCCATGGTGTCATCATAGTGGATCACCATGTAGTAGTAGCATGTCATCGGTTGCTGTTCGACACATTCGCGTTTACATGGATGCTGCATGTCCTTGTCAGCGTAGCGCCATTGCGAGGATTCACTTGAGGGAGCTGTGAGCTGTGGATATAGCTGCTGTATGCTCTCGTATTTGCTCACAATTCGTTTGCCATCGGCATCTGTAAAACGAGGAGATGAACACAAATTATTGTTATTAACTGAAAGTATCCTGAATCACCTTGTATGCTATCGATTTGAACAATGATCAGACTGCTTATCAAAACAAATGTTTTTAATAAATTCATTTGCATTTTCAAGAAAAAGGAAAATGAAAATACTGGGAAAAGGAGCGATTGCTAAGAATGCTTTCGCATAACTGTTGATCAATTTCCGTTGTCAGTTACCTTTTGTAAGACAAGTAGCAAAATCGACATTATGCGATTGTTCCTGAAATTGCTTAGAATTCGCTTGTCGGCCTTGTTGAACAAATTGTCACGGTTAATTGAAGATTGTTCGCGAAGTAAAGATACAGACAACACAGACACCAGACAAAATTCTAATTTGTGTGCATGCCCCTAAAGACACTAACTGCTGATTCAATGTCTGGGGGAGAAACCATAATATTTAAAGTGCCAATTCTTTCCTTGGCCCATTTAATTTTTCCTTGCGGAAGCGCCATAATTCCTTAGTGCGTAGCGACCATTTTGATTTGCGCCTTGCAATTTGAATTTGCATTTTTGCACAGTGCTGCACAGCGATTACAGGGGACAGTGTTGTAGGCCCAACAGTATGTTATAAACAGACTATGAAAGCGTTATAGTTAGATGACAGATAATGAGCGAGTAAAGCTGAATTTGCACATTGTCCCAGGTATTGTTTGTATTTATCTTTATCTACTGATAGGCAGCCACTTGTAAAAACGACGCATGTGAGCAATTGTTGTTTTTTATTTTCCGCACGCTATCAAAGTACTTGACGCACTCGCTATACGTACATTGTATATATGCATGTATATATAAATATAAATATAAATATATAGGTGTGTATGTGGTTGGGGTATAAACAAACCAAGCCCAAGAACATTGTACTGAATTAGAATTTCATTTTCATTTACTTTTATCACATCGCATTGGCAATCGCTTCTGTGTTTGTATGCCTGCCTTTGTTTATGGGTGCCTGCACTTGGGGCCGTGGGCCAACCAGATTGTTGATTATGCAAAATCAAGTAAAGGAAAAAAACAAAAGAAGAGACGAAGGAAAAGAGCAAGCAAAATAAGTAGCAAATAAGGCACAGTGCAACAAAGCATACACACAATGACGACAAGCCGCACATGAAAACAAGTTTGAACGCTTCGACAAAGATACGCTTCCAATTGATAGCTTTGCTGGAGCGTCATGAGCTTCATTAGGCATTTCATCTTGAAGTCAAACGGTCGCAAAACGGTTCCTCTCCAGACGCCATCCAACGGACATCAATTGCAGAGATCGCTAACGATACAGAACGGTAAGGTGGCAACGCCAGCGCCACTTCAATGTTTAATGTTGCCAAAAGAATTTCACAACATTGGCGGACTTTGCTTTGCAATCGTTACAATTTTGTTTACAAATAACCACTTGTCAGGCAAAGCGAGTGAAATGGACAACACAATACATTCAGCGGGCATTGCCGAGGTGCATAATGTACCAATGAGCGTCATAAAGCGACCAATACCATCCGTGTTGGACGAGCCAAAAGTTCAGTCACTCATGGCAACGATCAATGTACGTAAATTTAGTTGCACTCAATTAATACACAGTCGTTTTCACTTTCTCTTTTTATTGTTTGTTTTTGTTGCTTGTTGTAGTCGGAAAGTAGCGAGGGTGAAGTGCCACCAGTGGATATCTTGTGGATTATCGGCAGCGAAGGAGGAAATTATTATTTCAGCTTTGGCGGCTGTCATCGTTTTGAGGCCTATAAGCGCCTCAATCGGGAAACCATAAAAGCGAAACTAGTCCGTTCCACACTGGGTGATCTTTACCATTATATGGGATCCAGTGCACCCAAGTATTTGGCATAATTTATTTATTTATATTATCTGCTGAGCTGTTATCTTGTTTTTGTCTACAAACTATTTGCCTTTTATATACATGAATATTTTGTCTTATATTAAATTAAAAAAAAAAACCAAGCAGGATTTTTATTATTAGCTTCTCAACTGCTATAAAAGCTGTGCTCAAAAATTCAATATTGATAGTTTGTTTAAATAGAGGCAGCATAATTTCATGTGTGATTACCTTAATGGGAAAATAATTTAACCAAGTCGGCCAGTCTATAGTTCTGACTAACTATCTAAATATGATTAGGAGCAAAAGACTACCATATATATGAAGGAATAGCATATGTATCATAATCATCAATACAATTCCTTAAATCAAAACTGCTGCTAGTGATATAATTGTTTGTTGTTAAAATGGAAAACAAAATTATAATTTGTTTTTGGCGGTTTTTTTGGCTTAAAGTTAAGGTAATAACATACCAAATCAGACAAAACAAAAAATACAAAAAAGTTTGATTTTTTTATTCGATATGTTGTTGTTAGAAATGTACTGAGCTCGCTGTAGTGTATCACAGCAATCAGCTTCGTGTCGTGTGCACACTCTTACACGTCGATAACAACAATCGTCAGCGTTCTATCGACTCATCGATAGCTGTGAGAAGGAACGTGTTGCGACAACTTATTGTTAATCATTTAGTAGCTGCCTCGTTGTGAAATTAAGAAAAATTAGATTAGAGCGCCAATAATAACAGTTGAGAGTTAAAATGTCACAATTCACGTGCATTAACTGCGATGCACGCTTCGCCAACGCGCAAATACAGAGAGACCACTACAAGACCGACTGGCACCGTTACAATCTGAAAAGGCGTGTGGCGCAGTTGCCACCAGTTACTGCCGAGGAGTTCCAGCAGCGTGTGCTGAGCGCGCGCAGCGCCACAGAGACGGCCATCGAGGAGCAACAGATGAGCATCTATTGCACCGCGTGTCGCAAACAATTTGGCACACAAAAGGCCCACGACAATCACCTCAACAGCAAGAAACACAAGGAGGCTCTCATCCGCTTCGAGCAGCAGCTGAAGCAACAATCAGAATCACAATCGGAAACTGAAACTGCCGTTTGCATAAGGAGCATTGTGGAGCCACGTCCACATCCAGCTTTGGCGGCAGCTGCCTCCGGCAAGGGACGTCTGGCATTCGCCGAGCGAGCGATGCAAATAGATGCAGATGAAGCGATCGGCGATGACGATGACTTTGAGGATATCGAGGAAGAGGAGGTGAGCCTGCTGATTCTGCTCTTATACATTAACATTTCTCAATATTCATTTTCTGGCCGCAGATTGACTCAGATGAATGGGACAAAATTGCAGAGAATCCGCTGACCGAACGCGATTGCCTATTCTGCACCCAGCAAAGCGACGATCTTGTAGAGAATCTGAAGCACATGTCACTCACACATTCGTTCTTCATACCGGACACCGACTACTGTACCGATATCGAAGGCCTGCTCTACTATCTGGGCGAAAAGGTGGCCAATTATTTCATCTGCCTGTGGTGCAATGATCGCGGCAAGACCTTCTATTCCCTGGATGCGGTGCGCAAGCACATGGTGGACAAGGGCCACTGCCAGATGCTACACGAGGGCGTCGCCCTGGCCGAATATGCCGAATACTACGATTACAGTGCCAGTTATCCAGATAATGTAAGTCTGTCCACTCATGTACATATATATACACACCTGGGCAGTAAAATGGATGTGAAGACAAGCACCATGCACGACTGCTTTTTTTTAATTTACGCCACTGTCCAGCTCAATATGCACGAAGTGTGCCAATATGCATGTAGTCATACTTACAAATGAAAGATTGTATTTTGGACATGATATATAAAATGTGCATTTACAAGCTGTCTCTCTCACTCTCACTCTCTCACTATCGTGTCTGTCTTTCAGAAAGAGGGCATGGACATTGATGAGGAGATTGTACCCGATTTGCTGGATGGTGACGAGTACCAGCTGGTGTTGCCATCGGGCGCAGTGATTGGCCACCGTTCGCTGTTGCGCTACTACAAACAGCGGCTGCATCCGGAACGCGCTGTGGCACTTAAGAAATCCGATCGCAAGCTGCATCGTGTGCTGAGCGAGTATCGCGCTCTCGGCTGGACGCAGACACAACAGCAGGCGGCGGCGCGGAAGGCGCGTGACATTCATTTGATGAAGCGCGTCCAGTCCAAGTGGCAGATGCAGCTGGGCACCAAGGCCAACAAGCTGCAGAAACATTATCGCGCACAGGTGCTTATTTAAGCAGCTCACTGCAAACAAACGAAAAACAGAAACAAAAATCTTTTTTTTTCTCGCTTAAATTAAGCAAAAAATTGTTTTCATTTAAAATTACTGCGTTTTCTCTTCAAATAAAATTACATAATTTAAATTAAAAATTAAATAAAATTTACTTTTGATTCTTTATAGGTAAAATTATATCGTTATCTTTACAATTATATATATTAAAACTAGGTAAAAAAAAAAAAGGAAACTAATTCGTAAGAAGTTGCTAACGGTAAGCTAGAAATGAGCGATGAGCGTGTTGTGTGTGTGTGTGTGTGTGTGTATGCGTGTGTATGTGAGCGAGACGGTTGCATTGTGTGTGTGTATTTGAGCGAGACGGCTGCATTGTGTGTGTGTATGTGTGTGTGTGTGAGAGAGTGACTTAAATAAACCGATAAAAGTGCGAGTTGATGTGTGTGATGAGTGATGAGTGACTTGTGTAAATTTTAGCTAGCTATATTGTGTGAGTGAGTGTGTGTTCGTGTGAATGTGTGAATGGATGTGCAATAAATAGCAGTGTCTGCTGGCGAGCTAAGATAACGGAAAATCGGCCCGCACACACACACACACGAACGAGAGAGAGAGAGAGAAAGAAATGTTGTTACATGCATGTGTGTGTGTGTGTGTGTGTGTTTGACAAAAAAAAAAAGAAAGCAGGAAATAAAATTAAGACTAAAAATTATAGAATTAATAGTTAAAAGACGGCAGGTAACGCTAATGTATAACTACAGGATTCTGTTGAACACATACGCCCACCATGGGCGACGACGCGGACGCTTCGCTGCTGCTGGCGCCCTGCGTTGAGCTGCTGCCGATGCCGCCGGTACTGCTGCTGCTGCTGCTAATGTTAATGTTAATGTTAGCCGATGATGCTGGCATCGCTGCCGACGATACTGCTGACGCTGGCAGTGGCATTGGCATCGGCAGCGGCTGCGGATGGTACAGCAACGTCGTATACGAGGCCGGCCCAGAGCCAGCAGGCCCGCCGGCAGCAGAGGCGCTAATAACACTCGAATCCGTCATCATCAGATGCGAGGTGGCAGCGGACATGTTGCCATAATGATGCATTAGCTCCAGAGGCAGCGATGCCGGCGCATAGCTGCTGTGATGTGCTGGCGGCTGCATTTGCAGCTGCAGCGGCAGTGGCAGAGCATGTTGTTGTTGTTGATGCTGTTGTTGATGTTGCTGTTGATGTTGCTGTTGTTGATGATGTGCGGCGGGTGGTGGCAGCGGCGGCAGCAGCAGCGACGACGACGACGCCGATAACGATGACGGCGGCGCTGCTGCTGCTCCGTTATGCTTAATGCTGCTAAAATTTGAATGTGCGCCACCAGTGCTGCTGCCGCGCATGCGTCCAAATGGCTGCTGGCCGAGACGCAACGCAGCTGCTGCAGATACAGTCGGCAGCGGCGGCGGTGGCATCTGTTGCGCATGCGGCGGATCGCAGTCCATGGCGTGCGCATAACTGTTGGCCATGTTGTTGTACATGTTGCGGCGGCTGTTGCTGTTACTATTATTGTTGCTGTTGTTGCTGCTACTGCTGCTGATGCTGCTGCTGTTGATGTTAATGTTATTTAAGCTATTCAGACTGTTACTGTTATTATTGATGGTCGCTGCTGTTATCGTTGGCTGCGCCTGTAGACTGAGCGCCGAAAAGTTCATAGCATTTGCCGTCACTGCTGCTGTGCTGTTATTGTTGTTGTTGTTGTTTGTGTGATGCAGTAGCAGACCTGCAAATGTAAATGTTAAACAGAGTTCAATCGAAGCCAGTGCTGTAAATATGTGTACTGTACAATAAACAACGCAATGTTGCCACACTGCAAGAGTTTGGATTTTTTTTTTTGTTGATTATATCATAAATTTTTATTGAAGGGATTTTTCGCTTTTTTTGCAAGTTTTTTTGCTTTAATTTTTTTTTTTAGGTTTTTTTTTCCATTTTAATTGTTTTTCTTGGTTTTTAACTTATTATTAGTAATTATTCATAAATTATTTCATACTCATTAAACTTAAACCATCAGCTTTATGTTTATATTTATATAAATGCCACATATGCGTGAGTGTGTGTTAGTGTAAGTGTTTGTGTTTACGTGTGTGTGTGTGTGTAAGTGTGTGTTGTTTGAGTATGTGTGTTGTGTGTGTGTGTTTTGGTTTTTACCATGTACTTTCATTGTGATTGCATCTGTACTTGGTATTTTAAGGGTTCTAAACAACTAAATGCATTTCATTTCAAACCAGTTTTGCTATCAGTGTTGTTATTTATTCGTTTTTCGTTTATCATTTTTCGTTTTTCGTGTTGTTTTTTTATTTTTCTTCTTCTTTTCTTTTTGGTTTGTTTAAATTTCTTTCTTGCAATACTGATTCGTTCAACGGCCATAGCTCCTATATTTCTGTAAATTTGGTTTTGTTTTTGTTACGCTCTTTTATTATTTACGTTTGCCTTCGATCAGAAAATCAGACATATACACACATGCAACACATACATAAAAGCATGCATGTAGCATGTAGCATGTTGTACGTGCTTCACTCGCTCGCTCACTGGTATGATGCTGTTAGTTAGCATAGGCTTAACATTAAGAGCTTGCTGCATACCTTAAGGCGCCATCTCTGATCCATTTCGCCTTGTTTCGTATTTTATATATGTTTTTTTGTTTTTGTTTAATGTTTTTGTTTTTGGTATTGTTAAATTTTGTTTGCGTGATTTCTAAATATGGTTTGTGGTATTCCTCATTTGCCTAGATCTAAAATGCTTGCAATTCATTTTCAAGTTTCTTTTAGTATTCGTTTTGTTTCGATTTTTGTTTTGATTTTTTTTATATTTTTATTTTTTTTTTACGTAATATTTTTAACTAAACTATGTATGCATGTATTTTTTGTCTGTGTACATCTATAAATGTATGTAAGTATGTGTGTGGCCGTGTGTATGTATGTATGTATGTATGGAAGTGTTTGTTTATGTTATATATTTTCAACTTAAGCTTTTAACACTCTTTTGCGGTGTTGCTTTAAATATTTTACATAACTCTTTGAAGTTGTTATTTATATGTATATATATATATACACATATATATATATATGTTTGTTATTTGTTAAATTCTTGAATTGTTTACTTGGGGCTTTTACTAAATTGTTGAATTATACATACACACACATATTATATTATATATGAGAATGTATCTCACATCTACATCTCTCCCTCTTTGTTTGTCTGTTTGCCTCTGCCTTTGTCTGTGCTTGTGTATTAAAAATCAATTGATTTTTCTTTTCGCTTTTCGCATCATTAATTCATTTATGTATAATACAGCATATGCATAATATGTGTTCTTGTCTGTATGTATTCGTTAAATGCTAAGGTTTTCATTTAGTACTGATTTAAGTTTGTTATGCATGCTATAGATTTCTCTGATTCCATTTGAGTTATGTACTTTAAGTTGCCCCTAAGCGCTAAACTTGTAACGTTGATTACTATGCTGCTGCTGCTTGCTGATTTCACGTCATCGTTTATTTTATTTTATTTTATATTTATTTATTTTTTTTTGCTTATTTTTTTTATTTATTTTTATTTTCTTATTTTTTTTGTTGTTGCTATTTTTACATGCCTAAATCTATGATTTGTGTTTAGATTTGGTAATTCGCATAATTTTTATCATTTTTATATCAATTAAAAACTTGATGTATGTATAAGTAAATATATATATATATATATGTATATATATATATATATATATATAATACACACATACATATATATATATACATATATGTATATATACATATATGTATATATACATATATGTATATATATATACTGTTGCTTGTTATGAATGTGCCAAGACCTGCCACTTAACTGTTAGGCTGCGTTCGTTTGTTTAACATTGCTTTTACCATATAGAATAAGCACAACTTTTTCAAAGCTTTCTTTACGTATGCAATGTATATATATACATATATATATATATACATACATATATATATATATATATATATATGTGGGTGTATCCTGTGTGTATGGAAGTGTGAGAGAATAGGATCGGGGTGGGAAAGGGGGCAGGATAAGGGTTTGGAAGTGCTGCCTCTTAATGCGAGCAATGAAATAGCTCGTTGCTCAACTGTGGCATGCAGACAGAATCCATCTTATCTATTTTTATGTATGTACAATCATGTATTGTGTGTGGGTGTATATGCCAATAAATGCCCTACATACTCATGTTTTGCTCGTGATCGCGACTCACTTTACAGTATATTGTGTGTATGTGAACGGAAATAATAAAATAATAAATAATAAATGCAAGTAAAGACTTCAAATGCATGGAAGAGAGCTTTTATATTGTTTTCCTTTTTGGGTTTGTTATGTAGATATCACAAAAAGCGGCGCCTGGACATAATGTATGAAAATGTGGCCACTGATTAATTACACAAGACAAGAGAACAGGAGAACAAGAGAACTGAGATTGACTCGAACAACAAATCTACAAATCTACAAATCACAAACACACACACACACACACACACGAACACAGGCACACAGACACACACACACACAGCAAGTTCTGCTTTTGTGCGAGAAAGAGAAAGAATGCATCGACAAATCTAAATTGCTGATCGAGCCGTGTTGTTTAGCATTCGCTTTTGCCTATTGCACTTTATTTTGTAGTTTTTTGGAAGAAATATTATCATCGTCAACCGTGTTACAACTATGTATGTAGGTATGTATGTAGTATCAGTCTCAGTTAACTAAAGCCTAAGAGCTCGTTTTGCTGCGATTTCAATAGTTTCAAACAGTGCACAAATATCCCTCCTCTTGGGACTCTCACTTAAGATGCAGAAAGACACAGCTTAAGCAGCTTAACAGTGCGCTGTTAACTCAAGCAGCTTAACAAGGCGCTGTTAACTCGTGGATCGACGACGAGTCGAACGAGCTGTGAGGGGCGGGGCCGGAGTAGACAACCAAAAGAGTAAATGGCAAGACGAAAAATGCATATGTACTTTCAATAGTTGACAGTGTATATGTTATGGTGTGCGTGTGTGTGTGTCTGTGTGTGTTATACATTATAGCTGTTGTTTTTGTTGTTGCGCAAGGAGTAGGGTGAAGAATTCAATGCGTCCGCGTCAAGTACATATTGCATTTATGTGTTTGTTTTGTGTGTGTGTGTGTATGTGTGTATGCGTGTATGTGTGTATGTGTATGTGTGTATGTGTATGTGTGTATGTGTATGTGTGTATGTGTATGTGTATGTGTGTATGTGTATGTGTGTATGTGTATGTGTGTATGTGTATGTGTGTATGTGTATGTGAGTATGTATGTAAGTAGGTATAATTAAAGAATCGACTACCGCTTCAATCTACACAGAAGAATGTGTATATATATATCGGCATATATTTGTATATATGCTTGTATTTGCTGTTATCCTCATGTTGCTTGATTTGCTTGCCTTCAGTTATTACGCTGTGAGTTCAATGTTAATGTACTGTAAACTTATATTGTTATTTCATATTACATATACATGAATAATATACATATACTCATCTATTTATATATATATATGCGTATATATATAAGTGTGTATGGCAGTCATTAAGAAAGTCGTTAAGGATTCCTTGTTTTATGTTATGCTTAAGATTTTAACAGATTTCGTAATTTTTAACTTTTTACTTAGATATACAATTCTATGGCCCTAATTGCTTATAAATAAATGCTTAGCTGTTAGCGTCATTTCATTAAACAAAAAAATTATTATAACGAAAAATGAAACGAAACAAGGAGCAAAAGAATTACAATTAACATTCGATTGTTTTTTCTTTCAGTTGGAGCGTGTCTAATTCAAGTCCTATTTATATGTATTCTAGGTGCAAAAAAAAAGAGTCTGGCATATGTATATAGTATAATCACATACATATATGTACACATATATATATAATTAAGTATTAGGAAAAAAAAAGAGTTAATCGCGCCACACATTAGGAAAAATGTTATGAGTAGCTGGAGCCTCTGGTTATTTACAATAGACGGCCTATAGAAATACGCAGTGGAAACCAAAAAGCCAACGATGCTTATCGATTACAAACATATCGATATCGATAGCACAACGGCTGCTGCGATTCTGGCTCAACTATTTTTTCGATTTGCAGTCAGTCGGTTACCGTTACCGTTACTGCTATTGCTACTGTTACTGTTACTGTAACTGCAACAGCTATTCTTATCCTGAGACCTAATTTGCCATTGCTTTTGTTGCTGTTGCAGTTGTTGTTGTTGCTGTTGCCGCTGTTGCTGTTGCTGTGGGTGTTGGTGTCGTCGCCTCTGCTGGTCATCGGCGCTCATCTGGAAAGGCGATTGTTGTTTTTGTTGTTGGTTGTTGTCGTTTATCGTTGATATTTGTTTTTTTTTTTAATAATTATGTAGTTACATACAGATTTTTTTGTTTTTTGTTTTTTTTTTAGAAAGAGAGAGCATATAATTGGGACATAAATTAGTTGGTATTTCTTTTCCTGCTTTTGCTTTTTGAATGTATACGAAACAAAATAACAAAAAAAAAAATAACACTACGTTTGACAGCACTGTTTTTCGAATAGGGTGCTACCTCTAAGAAACAAAAGAACACTTACAGTTAATGATAATTATATGCTTAATAATACATGTATATACTTATGTAAATGCAACTAAATTTTTATCGTATTGTTGAAATAATAATCATAGATATAGTATATATATATATATATATATACATATATACTATACGTATTCAGATTTGTAAATTTTGTTGGTGTTCGCATTTTTAGCTACAATTTGAAACATTGTTTTAAATAATTACCATAATAATTTTTTAGCTTAATTAAACACAAAATATATAGATAATTTAATGCAATCGAATTGGTTTCTTGAGGCACGCACACAGACATAAAGATACTAAACACACAGACAGGACACGGCCAGACATGCAAATAAACAAAATCTTGGGCGGAAGGATATTGACTAAAGTTGGCACTATACATATATATATACGAGTATATATATATATAGCCCCAACTGTTGATTATACATTTCAATTCAATAAATTAAAAGTAAAAGTGCTGTGTGAATTCAGTGGCAACATAATTAACATTAAACAGAACGCATTGTAAACTAAAATAGTACAAGAATGTTATGCTATAAATACACTAAAAATAAATACAATTTACTATTTATTAATTGGAGTACATACAATCCAAATCCCTTGCAGAGCTTATGAGCGCATCTATTTTGATTTGGAAAATGTTTCAAACATGATTTCTTGCATATGCATATCCAAAAAATTAAAATATCCAATGCTTTCAATCGATAATATTTGTTCTGCAAAACCAATTTCTTTTTCCAAATACTCTTGAATTTACTCGAATTATCGAAAGCGCTCAAATCAAATGGGATCTATAAAAATGATTAAGAACCATTTTGATTTTTTTTTGATAATGGAAAAACGGTAATGAATATGAAATTTATCGATGCATAAATATTGTCTCCCAATTGGGAGACGGGCACACGCTCTCCAAGGGTTTTCAAATCAAAGAAATCTACCAAGTAGTTTGTAATTGGGCCTGAGGTCGTTTCGCTTATGCGATGAACATCCGGATCGTGATAAGGCATTTATCATGATATTGGCTTAGTCACGCATTAACCTCAAGCCAAAAAGAAGAAAAACAAACAAAAACGGCAAAGCAAAACACAAAACGAAAAATCTAAAAAATCAGAAAACATTTTCTACATGGCAAGTGTATAAAAAGAATAAGAAAAGAAAACAAAAAAAAAAGCAAGGGAAGAGAGCCAAAAAAGAGCTGAAGCTGCTGCTCCAGAGAGTTGCTCCATTTTTGGATTTTACTCACCTAAACATTGGGGATCGATGCCGACGACGCAAGCTGATGATTGCTGTTGCTGCTGCTGTTGTTGTTGTTGTTGTGTTGAGGCGCCGTTGCCGTTGCCCCCACCAGTTGAGGAGGAGTTGGAAGCGATGATAGCTGCTGCTGCTGCAGCTGCACTGGAGGAGACAACGCTGCTGCTACCGCTGCTGCTGGCGCCGGGTGCATTGCCACCACCGGTGCCGCCAATTCCAGAGTTGTTGCCATTGCCATTGCCGCCGGTGGTGCCACCACCACCAGCGACGCCGCTGTTGCCGCCGCCGCCGCCAGCTGTGCCTGGACCGCCGCCGGGGCCGGTGCTGCTGCCATTGCCGCCGGGGCCGCTGCCGCTGCCCGCGGATGATGAGCCGCCGGGGCCGCTGCCGCTGCCACCTGTGCCAGCATTCGCAGTGGCGCCCGCGCCGCTCGTATTGGTCGACTCGTCCGTGGTGCGCTTGAAGAAGTTGTGCTGCAAGGCATAGTACGGTGTGACGCGCGTCTTGGGATCAAAGTCCAGCATGCGCAATATTAGATCCTTGAACTTTAGATAATCTGCCACCGAATGTCCGGGCTCATCCAGACGGCGACCGGCCGGGCCGCCCGTCTCAACGCCCAGTATATCGTGAAGTTTGCGGGAACCGGGCGGCTTATATTTGCGGCCATTAAGTGTCTTCTTCAGCACATAGGAGCCGTCGGTGACAATCTTGTCAAAGAACTTGCGCGTCTTGTGCGCCTGATCCAGCAGATACTTGGGCGGCATGCCCAGCACCTCGACAATCTTGTTCATCTGATCGAACTCGTTGCAGCCGGAGAAGAGCGGCTCTCCCGTATGCATCTCGACCAGGATGCAGCCCAACGACCACATATCGATAGCCAGATCATATTGTATGCCCAGCAGCACCTCCGGTGATCGATAAAACCGCGACTGGATGTACTGATAGATCTATACAGACAAAGACAGAGAGAGAGAGAGAGAGAGAGAGAGAGATTATGAGTAAATTTATTTAATATGATTGTTGGCAGCTGCAGCAAAGACATTTCATTGCTTATGAGTTGCTCACATGCTTGAATTTGGAGCCCTGCGTGGCTTAATATAAATAGCTTATAGTTAGTCTTAATTACATATGCACATTATGTTAAGTGCAGTTTTAGCTGCAGCAGCCAGCGTTTAGCAGCTCTCTCTCTCTCTCTCTCGCTGATCGGCCGGCTGCTGCAGCTAATTTTTCGTTTCACAGAACTCTAGCTGATCGATCGTTTCATAATTATTATTGTTGTTGAAAGACTAAGCATTGGGCTTCTAGTCTAAATACATTCAATAAAGTTTATAAAGTGAAAATAACTTAGTGTTGTTAATTGAAAATAAAGCTATCAAAAAGCTGATAACGCAAACAATGATAATTAACTTAATTTTAATTCTAGTTAACTTGAACTTGAAAGCTCTTCTTTAATATCTTTGTAAACTTAGTCTTAATATAAACCACCTCATGTTTATATCTACAGTTATCTAAATACAATAAAAATAAGTTTTCCACACCGAAACATAAAAAAAAAGCTCTTCAAAACTCTTACACAACTAATGAAAAGTAACGAAAAAAAACGATATTTATCGATTGAAGAGCAATGATGAAAATCGATGGAATTGTCTAACACTATATCTAGGTGGGGAGTGGAAGTTTACTTACTCGCTGGCCCAGCTGACATGAGCTGCCAAAGTCAACAATTTTGATGGCCGATCGCTTGGGATTGCATAGCAATATGTTCTCGGGCTTCAGATCACAGTGTATTATGTTCAGTTCGGGTGTGCTCAGGAACAGGAGCGCCGTGCAGAGCTGCTGCGCAAATTTGCGCGTGAGGTTCAGCGAGACGCCACGGAAATTTGTGTTCCTTAGCAGATCGTATAGGTTATACGATAGCAGCTCGAATACGAGGCACAGATGATTGCGCCACATAAAATGACGCTTGAGCTTGACTATATTTTATACGGAAAAAGAGAGAACAATTTTTGAGCTGTGCTAGCAACATGTATAAATATATATATCTATATAATATACATACCGATATAGTATTTATTTTCAGCATCTGCACGATTCATCATCTCGAGCAGCTTGACTTCGATTTGTGCCTGATTTAGGAACGGTTTCTTATTCTTAATTATCTTGATTGCCACGTGGCATTGCTCCTCGTGATCGTAGGCCTTAACCACCTGACCAAAACTTCCCTTGCCTGCAATTGCAATTCGAATAATACATATTATATATAAATATAATTCACTATTGACATTTGAAATCATCACAAGAATACGTACCGATTAATGAATCAATTTCGTACCGATCCAGAAACTTTTCGCCATTCTTAATTATATAATCGTGATTATCATCGTCATAGCCATCGTTATATAATTTTCGCTCCTTTTTATTTGACGAGTCATCGTCGCCCTGTGTCTGCTGTGCTCGTCGCTTCTTTTTCGCGTAGTAAACCTTAACGATAAGAAATATATAAGAATATATATATATAAATGCAAATAAATATTTACAAAATATTTGTGTGTATGGATTTGGGTTCGTATTTTAGCTACAAGCCAAAGCTGTACACGTATTCTTATTATGTTTTAGTTCATTTTTAGTTTCATTTCATGATTTTATTTTATTCTAATGAATAAATTCGAAATAAATTATTGATAATTGTAATTTTTGATTTAATTAAGAAGGCAATTTTAAAATGCCTTCACTCATTAAGAGCGTAAATCGATTGTATTTGAATTTGATTGAAATTGTACATGTTCCTCATTAATGCTCTATCCAAATAGTGTTGTATTTAGCAAATTTCTCTCGATTTCGATTGAGATCAAACATCAAACAAACAAAGTCAGTCAGCCTAGCCTCCACTTCGCTGCCCACTCACCACCCCTCCCCTGCCTGACTCACTGTGGTTAAACGCTATGTTCTACCTTCCCATTCCCATTCCCTTCCCCTACTCCTCCCCATCCTCTACAAGTCGACTGCCTCATTGGCTTGGCGAGAAATGTGTTGTATGCTGCAGCTGCGATAGAAGGCAAAAAAGTTGTTGCTAACCCCGCATGTAAGCGTCGGTGCGAACGAGAGAGTTGCCCGCCGCCGTGCAAGCAAGCAGGCTGAAACGAATGGTGAGAGAGAGCAGCACGGAGAGCTATTGTGCTCTTTGCAGCTTTTTACAACAACAAGAAGCATTGGTGTAACCACACAGAGAGAGAGCCAGTGAGAGAGAGAGAGAAAGCGAGAGCGACAATTTCAACAACGCCTAAAAGAAGGCTGCACACAATTGCTGGGCCTTGTATTTTTGGAGGGGGGCGGCGCGTTGTTGAAATAAACGTGGGGAGCGCCGCACTGAGAGCAATGCTCGAAAATGGGTGTATGCCAGTGCCAGTGCAGACATCGAAGTCGACTTTTATCGTTGTTCTTCTTGTTGTTGTTGCCTGGCAATGACGTTTTCTATCATTGAGCCAACGTCACAGTTAATCGCTGCTATGCTGCGCTCTTTTTAGCTCGCGCTGGCACTCTCTCTCTGTCCTGTCTGTGCGTATGTATTTGTTGCCGGCAGCGTTTGTGCAAAACTGTAGCATACACTACAGCGTCGCAGTCGCAGTCAGTGTTAACGTCAGCGGTCAACGTCAGCGTCTCCATATGAGCTGATAAGGCTGTGAAAAGACCAACAATGTAACAAGTAACGGGGCCTAACAGCGCTTTGGCTACTTGCTTGGCGGCTTGCCTTTGACCACAAATTGCCGGCTCATTAATTAATAGCAGCTGCGCTTTACGTTTCTATAATTATTATAATCATGAGACGCATCAGCATCAGCATCATCATTGTTTGCCTTTTTTGGCACATCTGAAAACTGACTGACTTTCAACAAATCAAAATTGACAATTCAAATCGATTCGATTCTTTTCTATATCTGTGCTCTCTGTTCGAAATCAGTTATGATTATGATTATGCATATTAGAGAAACACCATCCGAGTAACAGATCTGGAGTAGCTATCTACGGTTGATAGTATATACATATACTTAATAGCAGCACAACAAGGTAATGTTAAGTTCCTTTGGCTGCAAATGACACCAGCAATCATCAACCATCAACCAACAGCCATCAGCCATCATTTCAGTAGCGTGTCGTCCGTCAACAAGTCAACAAACAACAGCAACGAGAAATGCCCGTGTGCGTTGCCCAATCATCACTTGGCTGCATTTTATGTTCTCGTCGAGGGGGGAGGCCAAGGCTAATTTTGGGGTCAAGGGCAGGCGGACAAGCGGACAGGCTGGCATGGCCAAAAGCTACAGCTAAAATTGTTCGCTGATCGACAGCCATGTTACTGCCAAAAACATTGCTGCTGCTGCTTCTCCTGCTACAGATGCTGCCAAGGCTATCTCAGTTGTCAATTGTAAGGATTTTGATGGGTAAATATTATATATATAAAATATATATAAATTATATATATATATATATAAGATATAATTCTCAGTCCCATCTTTAAGGACGAGTCGAGAATGTATGTAGGACTGATTATGTCCAGTTTAGTATTAATATAGTAGTTGTAAGTAAAATATGAGTATTGGATTAACAACGTTATGTTCGACTTTATAAAACAATGACTTATTTCCTGGCCGCTCCGACAACTTTACAACTTTAGATACTCGGGACTTTGATGACTTCTTATTGACGATCTTAACGGTGCGCTTCACGAACTCGACTCTCTCGTTCTGCTGTTCTTCTATGACTCCTCTTCTTATGCTGCTGTTAGATCTGCTAACCAACGTTGCCACCCAATAGCACTGTAATCCGACTGTAACTACTCGTTACACATATATAAAATAATTGGACTCGATGATTGCATTTCACCTCTCCCCAAGGCGAAATGCAAATGAATCAAATGCCACAAGATAATGAGAAGTGTATGAATAATTTTTGGGCAAATATAAATGTTAAAAGGCACTTTCTAATTAGTTAGTTAGTTAGGATATGTTCTATTCGAATCAATTTTAAATATAGAAATCATTTTTAGTTATTGAAATATGCCTTGAACTCTCTTGCATGAATTGATTATTGGTCTGTGTGTGTGAGTGTGGGGGGTGGGGGGGTGTGTGTGGGGGTGTGTGTGATGTACTCACCTCATTGATGTGCTTGTAGGTCTTAATCAGTTCGACGCTGAGCTTGCGCAACGGTGCCGCGGCCGGATCTCGAAAGTGTGTGGGAATGCGTGCCTGCATGGCTCGCACCTCCGACGAAGACGAAGGACTAGAGTGCTGTGTGACAAGGATGAGGAGGATGAGTCAGTTCGGTTATTGGGTATGTAATGTAATGATGAATTCAAAAAAATATACTCACATGATGCATGACATCACGATGCGTGGCAGGCAGTTCCTCTTCGACCACAAAGCGGCCATAGAGCGGCGCATGGCGCTGTCTGCCACCACCGCTCCCGCTGCCCTGCGATGTGTCCACGGCGCCCGCACTGGAACCATATCCAGCGGATACTAATACAAACACACACAAAGAGAGAGAGAGAGAGAGAGAGAGAGCGAGAGAGAGAGAAAGCGTCAGAGATAGTTATTAAATATGTCGATATTTCTTATAAGTACATCGAGTTTTTGAGTGTCCACAAACACTTTAGAAACACATCGAAATAATGTTCTAATCGAGACTGCCCGACTAGTAGCCACCCCGTATTTAATGCTAAACACATTTATCTTTTCATAAGATCCTTTTGAACTTTTCAGTGCATCAATTTTTACAACAAAAATAAGCTAAAAATAAACCCAAACTAAAGAGAGCTATGAAAATTATAATCAAATAGGTTGGGAAAAACCAGTTACGTATATTTGTATATGTAAAGTCGTCAGTTGCAGTGATTATAATTAAACATGAATGATTGATTATATAGACAATTATGGTGGCATTTGGAAATTAATTATGATTATTAGCGATGCAGAAATCGTTTGGGTCTCGATTATATAAACCTCGACAATCGATAAGTCTGTGACGAGAATCTACTATAGACCATACATTTGAGCTAGCTCTTATATATATATATATTTCTGTGTATTCTGTGGCATATCTCAGCAAATACTATATTTGCGTGGCAGGTCTAAGATCAAACGATTGCCAAAAAACCTATGTTGATGGATGCTGCTGTGCATAATATATATATATATATATATATATATATATATATGTATGTATATATATGTATAAGAATCCCTCCCTGTTCTGTTGGGTGTGGTTCATTGACCGACTCTTCCTGGGGTGAGCTGGCGACTGCAGCACCTGTCTTGTGTAGCGCACACCTGAGGAGGCTGCTGCTGCCAAACACCGACCGAAAGAAGCCGAAAATACGTTTCGACTTAAATTTAGAACTAGACAAAAATCGCCCAACACAAATTATTACACAATATGCACAAACGAACACTCATACATACTTATATATATATATATATATATATATATATTGCTTGTCTCTCTGTTTTGCTACGAGTCAAAAATAGCACAAAAGGGTAGCGCATGCTGCAAACGGGGGGTTTTTGGGTGTTTTGGGGCTATAAAACATAGACACGAAACTGATATTGCATTTCGCAATTGCCGCCAAGCGCAGCAGAGAAGAGCAAGAAGCAAGAAGCAAGAAGCAAATGCAAATTGACATCTTATGGCGCATGGCAACGATCGCAATGCCAGCATTCTCCCTCCCACACCAACTAATACACAATTATATAGATAAAACTAATGTGTAATATCAACATAAATCTTAACATTAACATAAGCTTTATCCGTGCTTATAACGCTGCCAGTTGGCGAGCTTAGCTTGAGCTTTTAGCTATTTTTTAGGTGGGCATTTCCTTGCATTTTCCTGCCATTTGAGCTTGACTTATGGAATGGAATTAAATAGGACTATAAATAGAAATAGTTGACAACTGTTCAAGTAGAGTTCAGTTTGAATTAATGCTTACAACCACATTGTGTTGGCTGATGTTGTTGCTGTTCTTGGAAATTGTGATCCGATTGATCGCTGGACTGTTGACCGCCGATAGTTGCCCTGAATTTTGAACTGGGATTGATAATGGCGAAACTTCTCTTCACCGTATGCTGACAGCCAATTTGAGCCAAATAATGCGGCAGTTGCTGCTTTTGTTGTTGTTGTTGTTGTTGCAACTGCTCTTGATGCAACTGCAATTGATAGTGCGCAGTGTCACAGCTGTCGAAATCATTGAACCTGCTGCTTCCATTGCTCCAGTTGCTCCGCCGTGGAGCAAAGGACGGAGACGGACGTTGACATTGTGTTGTTGTTGTTGTTGCTGCTGCTGCGGCGTTGTATAACCAATCGTTGGAGCCATTGACTCCAGCTGGGGCAGCTGCGGCTGTGACCATTGGATGGGGGTTCGCGACCGCCACATGGCCACTGCCACTGCCACTGCCAACCTCAACGTCAAAATCAACGTCAGCATCAACGTCAACGGTCGTGGCAGTGGCAGCAGTCGCAGCAGCGCCGTTCATTGACTGCCAGTAGACCAAAGACGTAGCTGCCGTTGACATTTTCAAGGTGGAGGTGGAGGTGAAGTAAAGGGGGGAGGGGTGAACGTATCGGAAGAGACCGTGTTGAGCTCGAAACGCTGATATTAATGGCTATATAAATATTTCCTTCCTTATTTGCGTTATATCTGTTTTCTTTCTTGCCTTCTTTCTTTCGTTTTTTTTGTTTTTTTTTTTGTGTATTTTTATTGACTGTCAGATGCAGAATGTAAGAAGACGTTGCGTTCGCTGAGCTTCTCCCTCGGTTCTCCCTTCAGTTTTATGTTGCACAAAATTGCACACACACACACACACACATTTACAAAGAGACACACACACACAGTTCTACTATTTGTATAGCCACTTTGCAAATAAATAAAAAGCAAAGAATTTTTATTTCATTTTCTCTTCCGCTGCGCTGACATCAAGCAACAATTTATTAATTTATGCACTGTTGGCCGACTATTTGGAGAACCCATTTCACAAATATATATTTATGCATATACATATAGATATAGATTCATATATATACAGATATATGTGTGTATATATATGTGGTTTGTGTATGAGCCGAGCCGACTACTCGCGCGATCTGCGTCGCGTGAGATTTCAACGCGAACTGCGTCAATTTTTTAGCTGGCCCCAAAGTCAGCTAACAAAACAACTAACAGCTAACAGCTAGCTGCTAAAAGCTAAAAGCTAACAGCTAATAGCTAGACAGGCAGCTAGCCTGAAGAAACGCGTCTGTTTTATTTATATATGTCGAGGCGTTGTCTCGCTGCATTTCTGCTTCCGTTGCCAATTCGGCAAAAATTCTCATCTTGGATGCTGATGCTGATGATGGGCAATCGTGATATGCACTCTGATCTCCAATGGCCGACAAAATGCAGCAGCTGATCGAATCAATTCAACACTTTCACACAATTTGTATGCGGCTGGGCTGCCAAAGTCGTATTTTTCACTCTAAAAACCAATGCATAATTTGTGATCTTTATAGTGAAAAAAAAAAAACAAAAGAAGGGCAACCAATGCGTAAAAATTTACTATACTGGCTATTATAATTTGTATTTGTAGACTTTGTAACACTTGCAGATTTCTGCTCAATTGGTTTCTCGAGCTGGGCTTGTTTTCTTTTTTGTAGTCATACTCCCAAGTTATTCAAGAAATTTATTTAATTAAAAAAAAAAAAAAAAAAAAAAATAGAAACAGCTTATTCGCTTATTGGCAAACAGCTGGGTTTTCATTCTTTTTTATTTTTGCAAATTTAGCATTTCTATTGCTTTGTTTTCGTTTTATTGATAAGATTTTGTTTTTGTTGTTCTTCATTTCTAGCTTTAACGATAACAAAAATTCCAATTATCCGGCTGACAGCACTCAACGTGAGTTAACATATGTATGTATGTATCTATGTATGTATGTATATACGAATGCATGTGTGTGTGTGTATACATAAATAAATAAATACCTGGGCTATATGTAGAACACCTACACGCACATCTTTTACGCTTTCTTTGGTTTCTCCGCTTCGACGAGGAAGTCGGAAAAACAAAAGTAAATTAAATGCAAATTTTATTTCACTTTAATCGCGCTGCAAAATATTTGGCTATTTTTTTTTTGAGAGAAAATCAATCCAAAAATGGTAATTTTCATTGGGAGCGAACAACTTAATTTTCGATTAACATTTATCGCTTAGATTTGAAAATAAAACAGGGTATTTAATCATCGGCAAGTTTCATTTAAAAGTTTGTATTTTAAATCAAAGTTTATCCCCTGCCATTTTGCTTGGTTATGGAGCTAAATTGAGTCTTCTCCTGCGCCCTACGTCTGGCCTGCATTCTGATAATACGTGCCACACTTTGCCACGCCATGCTGCAAGTGTGTGTGCTAATAAATATATTTAGAATTCGGGGAGGCGCGTTGCAGTCTGCGCACTTGTCTAATGTGTTCATCTTCGCCTCGACCCCCATAATAGAAGTGACCACATTTTTGTGGCAAAGAGTGTATTTCAACAGGAGTAGTTGAGGGGGCGGAAACTGTAGCAGATCGACGGAAGCGGAAGCAAATGAAATGTATTTCGCATCGATTCTTAAGAATCTGAGTTATCAGCAAAGTCACCCATCACATTCAGTGTTGTGGGCACTGTGCAAAGACTGCCGCCTCTGCCTCTGCTCGTTTGTGACTCATGAATGATTGCAATTGTTTGTATTGTGTTGATGTTGTTGTTGTTGTTTCGGAAATTACAAGCACTTGACAAACTGAGGGGCAGACGGCGCCACTGATATCGCAATTCGTGGAATGAATGCGCTAAACAAATAGAGGGGAAGTCTCTCAAGTGCAACAGGCAACAACTACTATTACTAATTTAATATATATATATATATATATATATATATATATATACACACAGAGACACGCACACACACAGGCTGGCTCCTCCCAATGGCCAAACAAAAGGTGAGTGATAAGTGTGAAGCGCACTCATGCCTCACTCACAATAAAGCGAGACAGCAACAGGTGCAGCTATCGAGCAGCATCTGCTTGCTATGAGACTCGTCGACGAAGCGTTGCACGCACTCAGCGAACAATTTCAATGCGGCATTTTGTTTGCAATTAAAATACATTACTCTTATTATTATTATAACGATTTGTGTGTTTGTACACACCTGAACAGTAAAATATGTGTTAAGACAAATACAATACATTCATTTGTAAATATGGCGACATTGTTTCCTAATGCAAATTGAAAGTATTTTTTTTTTTTGTGTTTTGTTAAAAGTGCATATTGAGCAGGGTCAGTGAAATGCGTTGAATTAAGAAAACTTGAATTTCTCTATATGAATATTTGTTTGAGCTATTGATTTGAACTGAACTATCAAATAATATTAAATGGGCCAAGGCCATCAGATCAGGACAGGGTACAGGATAGAAAATAGAGTGTAAGCTCCTCTGAAAACATTAACAATTGCATAGACACGTCAATGGGAAGGGGTCATAACTTCTTTAAAAATGCTCTTAAGTCATCAGCAATCGATAATCGATAATCGTATGGTGTTATAGGCCAAAGGATATCGTTTTGACTCATCAATTGGAAATGTTGTATTGAGTGCAGAACTAGGTACTTGAACATCCAGTTATGCTCCTTTGGTTAGAACATCAAATTTTAAGGTGGTGAACCACTTAAACAAGTGAAACGGACACAAAATTCTCTGGAGTGATGAAAATAGAGCAAATTTGTTTGGTAACGATGCTAAGAGAACCGTTAGTCACCAAACTGTAAAGAATTCCCAATTACATAAACTATAAAAGCAATCATGCGCATGGTGTAATAAAATAGGGTATAAATGGGTTAGGGTTAGGGAATAGTCACAGTGATCGTCAGCTGTTGCATTCAATTTGTTGGCCTGCCTTACCGAGATCAGCAGATCATTCAATGGCGGAAATTATCCTAGTGTTAAACATGTTCAACCCTCGGAAAACTGAGCCCCAAAGATCAGATAAGACTTGATTTTCCTTGGACAGAAGTGTTTTTTCATTTTTTTTTTTTGCTTTGAAAATGTTCAAGGATAGCTGAATATTATCTTATGAACACAAATTTAGATTAGAAATTTGTAGTTTTGTACTTACATTTCTGTTTGTTCTTATCCATAACGGCGCCGCTATTCGTATCCTCCAATCTATACATGGGGCTTGTGTTGTTGGTTTAATGCTTTATGCTTAAGAATTACTGGCTATATACCTGGTTGTAGGTATATATGCTGCATACATATATGTTACGTATACGTATTGGTGTATGTATTGATTTATAATACATATATATACATATATATATACATATACATATATATATATACATATACATATATATATACATATATATATACATATACATATATATATATATATATATATATATATATATAGATATTGCGTTATTTGTTCATATAATTTGCGTAATTTGTAAATGTTTGCGATTTGGTTGTTGTTCTTGTTGTTGTTGTTTTTTTATTTATATGTACATTGATTAAATTAATTATTAACGGCAATTAATTATTTACCTCTCGTTGTTAATTTGGTTACTAATTTTGTTCGTGTATATAATATACATGTGTCTGTATATTCATTTAAATATTTTGTTGGGTTGTTGCCTTACTGTTGTGTTTGTGTTTTTAGTTTGCTTTCTATTTTCAAATACTTTTCCTGTGTTTTTTATGTTGTTGTTCTTGTTCAGTTATGCAGTATATACACATGCATGTGTATATATCTTTGTATATATATATAAATATATATATTTATATATATATTTGTTATTTATCAATCACTGATTTTTATGTTTTTTGTTCTGTTTTGTTTAAAGTAATGAACACACTTTTCAAGTCTTTATTTTTGTTTTATTGGATTTGCTCTGAATGTTAATGTTAATGCTACTGTTATGTTGCTCCTGTTGTTGTGGTTGCAGTTGCTGTTGTTGTACAGCTTCTTGTTGTTGTGTTTGCTTCTAATAATGTGCAGTTCCAATGATGATGATGACGTTGCGATTTTTATTTATTTACCGTATTTACACACGCACACGTACATACACATGTGTCCGCATTTACATATGTGTTGTACTTGCAATACGAATGCAAATCCATGGCACACACACATATACACTCTGCTCTGCCCTGCTGTTTGTGGGTGCTTTTTGCTTGCCTGAATGCCTGCGTGTGTGTGTGCATGTGTGTGTGTGTGTGTGTGTGTGCACGCGGTCACCAAAAAAACGAAAACAAAAACAACTCTCTCTCACACACACACACAACACAACAACAAATGCGACTCTAAGAAGAGTGCGAGAAAGACACACACACACCGAGAGAGAGAGAGAGAGCCAAATATAAGCTTTTCCTTAAGTAATTGTTGTTGTTGTCGTTAGATTGTTGTTGTTGTTGTTGATCCCGTTGCCGATGCAGTTGTTGTTGTTGTTTGGATTGATGTTGTTGTTGTTGTTAATACAAAATATATTTGTGCACATTTTGCATGGGAACAAAGATCACACGGGCGCCAATTTAAATATAATGTCGATAAAGCTTTCATCAACACAGCTCATGTTGTTGTTGTTGGTGTTTTTGTAGTTGTTGTTTTTGTAGTTGTTCTTGCTCCGCTGATCTTTCTTGACGTCGTCGTCGTTTAGAGCTGCAAAGAGTAACAGAATAATGAAACGCTTAGTTGGACATTTTATAAACACTTACTGCATTACACAGTTATTTTCTCTTATATGTATGCAAAAAGAGAAAAAAAAAATTCAATAACATTTTACGCGGCGCAAAAGAACCAAATAGAGTATAAAAAAAAACAACGCTCAGACGCTTGATTCGAAGAACTCACACACACACACATAAACATACAGAGGCACACGCGCACTTTCTCGCTCTCAATTGCCTGCGCGCCCTCTCTTTCTCTCTCTTGCTCACAGCCTGGCAGGTGAACGAACGACACGCGACGCATGCATCTGTGTGTGTGAGTGAGAGCAAATAGCGAGTTCTAACAGACAAGTTCAACGTGTGTAGCTTGAGCGCCACGCGCACTCACACTCTCTCGCACATACATATGTACACACAAATATATATACATATACAAATAGCATAGAAAGTGCAGCTTGGCTGGCTGGCGCCCGACTTAAAGCTATTTGCTATGGCATACAGCTGTTAAGCGCCTGTTGTTGCCAAGCAGAAAAAAAATGTAAATGTGTGTGTATATTTTAATGAGTTTAACAGAGTCAACCCTCGCTCGCACACACACACACACACACACGCATAATGGCAGTGAGTGGCAATTTGCGTTGCTATTGCGGTGAAAGTGAGCGCAGCTTTTAACTGTTAACTGTTTGCTTTGTTGCTGTTGTTGTTTTTGTTGTTGTTATTATTGTTATTCTGACACATTTCGGCATTTTTGTATTGTTTTCGCTATTTTTTGTTGCCATGTAATTGAACAACACGAACACAAGCACATACGTACACACACATACACACAAACATACAATGGCAATACATGATTGCAATTCTGCAGAAATATAACATTACTCACACACACACACACATACACAGCCGGCAGATGCCGAAAACCAGTTCCATTAATGATTCTTTCTTTCTTTCTGATTCTCTGATTCACACGCTGCACAGCAAAGCAAAAAAATACAAATAAAAAGAGGTACAAACAAAAACAACACTTCGGCGGATGCGTCACAACGACGACATTCAAATGGCATCTGATAATCAGTTAGCCGCAGTAGCAGCACGGTGAATACTCCCCATATGCAACACGCCACAGAAAAAATAACAGAACAGAACAAAACTGTTGCCACACTTACACTTATAAATACGTAGACAACTTTTTGTTGATCAATCAAACTAAACTGGGTCGCTGCTGCTGCTGCTACTTTTCCTTATCAATTGCACGAGTTGTGCTTGTGACCGATCGCGCCTTGTGACGTCACACAAAAGCGTATGTGTGTGCGTTTTATATCTATTTTTAGGCAGGCGGCAACAACTTTATGCATGCCTCATAATTTATTTATATACAACGAAGAGTATAAAATCAAAGCAGCAGCAGCAGAAGCAGAAGCAGAAGCAGCAGAAGCGCCCCCACACAGAATCCCACACGAAACGCCAATTATATTTCACGCGCAGCTGGCAACTCTGCATTTGGTGGGTGGTCGTCGGTTCGCTCTCTCTCTCTCTCTCTCTCTCCCTCTCTCTTTCATTCACTCACTCTCGCCTCTTAAAACTAAAAGAAAACTTTACGATCGATCCAGCAACAGCAGCAGAGATTGACGTCAACACACACACACACATACACCTTTTGTGCTTTCGCTTCATGCACTCTCTTTTTTTTTTTTTATCATTTTTTCTCTCTCGCTGGCTGGCTGTCTTTTGCTGTCAGCGCCACCCACCCACAAGAAGCAAGAACAACAACAACAACACAGCGCATCGCACGCACGCATGCTCTACTCAAAGATGCGCGCGTGTCATGCGTGACCTAAATTACTGATGCTACTGCTTCTTCTTCATCTTCTTCTACTGGTGCCGCATAACTATAAAAATAATTGTCGCGATCATTTTCATTTAAAAATTCAATTAAATACAAATATAAATAAAAATAATTTACCACAGATTACAAGCATATATTAAATGCTAGAAAGCCTTTTTGCGCAACATGTGGGCGACAATAAAAGCAAAAGAAAAAAAATCGTATGCTTGTTGTGTGAGTGCGTTCCCATTTCTTGTTTATAGGTGTGTGCGGCTGTGTACTAAAAATACTTTGTAGGCGTTTTCGGTGCGCAAGCTGCTTGCTGATTAGCCACAAAAACTTAAACAAAAACAAAAGAAAACTTTTTTTTGCACTTTTGGAAGCATTTTCTTTGATTTTTATTATTACCCCTTCTAGACTCGAAAAAAAATGGGGTTGTAAAAAGTTGTGCAAATGTTGTGAAAGGATGTATATATATATATATGTATATGTCCATATGTAAGTCTGTTTGTTTGTCTTATTCCATTTTTATTTACTCCACATTTTGTTAACAAATATATTTTCTTCAGGTACAGGATATCTGCTAGTCGGGCAAGGCACACTTGTGTTTTTTTTTTATTAATGGCATGGATCGGATCGCCCAAAAAGCCAAAGCAAAACCATGGGAGCGAAAAGCTTGCCGAATGAACGATAGATAGTCAGATAGAAAAAGAGGGCGAGAGAGAGAGAGAGCATATGAGATGCTTTCTTTTCTTTTTATATTCGGTTAAATGCGTAACGGAATGCCCGCTAGCATAAACTCAAATCACATATATATAGCGATATATATATATATAATATAAAAAAACACACACACACAAATAAATAATACTGGTAACAACACCAAGCAAGAAAAAAAAAACAAACAAACAAACAAAATTTACATTCTCGCTCCTTTTATTTTATATACTCTCTCTTTCTCTCTCATTCTCACACACACAGAGACACACATATATTTCGTGTGGTTCAAAGTTCAATGACCGATTTCGCCGCGACGAATTCAATTCGGCAGCGCAGACGCCGGTGCCCTCACAGCCAAGTCGCGAGCGCAGCTAGCTTTGTTTGCTGCTGCTGCTGATTCTGGTTGCTCGGCTGCTAAGCAGCTTGCGCTTGCACACAAGGTCAACGCAATAATAAAGTTGATTTTTTTTTGCCTAAAACGCAATAGCACAAATAATAAGCATTAATTAAACGAAACAAAGAAGCGGACCGCAGCAACCAAAAGCAGCCAAACAAACCAACCAACAATTAGCAATTGTAATTGAAATAAGAACCGAAGCCAGAACAAATTTTGCAAATATGCGTGCAGAAATAAATGTAGGTAAATCGACACTTTGCAACACTTGCAGAAGTCACACGCATAATTCATACGTTGTTTGCGTGTATGTGTTGGATGCACATATAAAAAAAAACCCACTGCGCTTGCGTGTGTGTGTCTGTGTGCGCGCAGCATTGACAGTGGCATTGAAATTACTGTTGGGTGGCGTCGCAGCACCCACAACATGAATGCTGATCATGCAAGGCAGGCGTCAAAACGCTGCCGCTGCCACCGACACCGTTGCCTTTGCCGTTGTCAGCGCCACAAGAATAAATTCCAATTAGATAATTTCCGACTCTTTTTGCAGACGAACAAAACTGTGACTTTTTCCGAGTATTTGTAGTTATTGATATTATTATTACTATTATATCAATGCATGTGCATGAGTGTGTGTGTGTGTGCAATACAGCTACACGCACATGCACGCTATCTCTCTCTCTCTCTGGCTCTCACTCATTCTCTACACGCTGATTAGAACAGCACAACAAAAGAAATTACGTTTCAACAATTTTTTTTTTTTTTTTCTGTCTTCAGTGCATGCTTTCACCTCCTTCTCCACCTCCTTCTGCTCCAACGCCCACGACAATGACGAGACTTAAAATTGTTGGGTACTTTTTACTTTTGCTTTTTTAAAGCGCACTTCCAATCGACTGCGACGTCGACGTCGATGAAAGCAGCACGTGTAACTCGGCGCTGGTTTTGCATTTGTTGTTGTTCCTACTATTATTGTGTGATGATTAAACAATGCAAGATGGCAGCAGCAGAGGCATTCATATTTATATGCAACCCAATTCACCCCCACCGCCCACCGGCAATAATCTCACGTGTTTTTGTTACTGTTGTTGCTTGTATTATTTGATTTGGCAGCGTTGTCACTAACGCCAATTTGCTGCGCAATAATAAAAACGACAGCAACAGCAACACCAACAAAATAATAACAAAGCCAATGCGAGAAATGTTTTTAAAACGCATTTAACGAATTGTGCGCAGTGCCGTCAACAATAACAACAACAACAACCACAATTCACAGTCATAATCGAAACAGCAACTGCAGCTCAATTCCAGGAACCACTATCGATTACTATTTATATTATTCATTATCCATTACCCATTATGCTGTGATCGCTTTTATGTTGGACAATATTGCTGCTGCAAGACATGCTGCTTACAGCCAAGGTCAAAATAATAATGCTAGTGCAAGAAATATTTGAAGGACTTGTATTAAATCTAAAACAAAAAACATCCTCATTTATCCAATGATCAATTTAAATTATTTTTATTTATTTATTCACTAATTTTACCTAATTTCAACACTGGTGTTTTCTATAATAGTAAACCAATTTCGATAAATATTATCGAGATTACTACATCCAGCCTATGAATATTTGATGTTTGTGTTTGGAAATATAATGAGAATTGTATTTAAAAAGAAAACATTTCCTTTCAAGACTGATTTTCATATATATTTGGTGAACTTTGCCAAAATTTAAAGTTTTTTTCTTTCTGTTTTTCAGCATAGCTATTTCAATATAATTGACATTTAAATTTTAGCTTAAGCAACCAAAAATATTGATTATACCCTTTGATACATATTTTATGACATGTTATAATCCAGGCATAATATCGAATATCCTTATATCAATAATCAACAGAATTTTGCTCCTGCGTCTGCGAGAACAATTTAGATAACTAAACAAAACTAAAACAAGGGCAAATAAAGTGCAAGACACGACTCACGAGTCACGAGTACAAGGGCAGAGGCAATGACCCAACGGAATGAAATGGAATGGAACGAGAATCGAATTGCATTGCATCTCATTGTTGTTGTTCTTGTATCGTGTTCAATGTGTCCAATTTGCTAAACAGCTGCTGCTGGCGCCCTCTACAGTCGCCTGTCCAGCTGTTGAGTAGGCGGTAAGTAAGCAGCAGCATCCGCAGCGTGAGAGAGGGATATATATAGAGATAGAAAGAGAGAGCGCAGTGCGCACCTCTCTTCTTCTACTCCTCTTCATTTTATTGTTGTCGTATGCTGCCGGCTACGTTGTTGAAATTTTCAGTTCAAATGAGCAGCAGCAGCACAAGTGCGAGAGAGTGCGCCCTCTCTCTCAATAATGGCAGACAGCAGGCGAGTTGTTGTTTGTTGGTGAATTTGAAGCCCTAACAACAAATTCGAATTAAAATGCACGCTGCAAGCTAGTCACACAGAGCGAGAGAGAGCGCATTGCAAGCATATTGCATTTGTCAATTAAAAAAAAAGTTATATGCAATTTCAATTTAATAACTATGACAACAAAAAAATAATACGAAAGCCAGCGGCGACGCTGCCAGCGTCGTCGGCAGAGGCAGAGCAGAAAAAGCAGCGTGAGAGCGCCAACTAGCCTCGCTGTAGCTGTCTGTACATGGGCCGTATGTGCATGCATAAACATGCGGAGCATATATATATATTTATATGTGCATGGATCTCTCCGTCATCAGTCGCTGCTGCAGCGCAGCAGTCTTTTTTAAGTTCTTGTTTGCCTTTTGCCAGCAGCATATATATATATATACAAATGTATGCATGCGTGTATGCTTCTACCTGGCACACACATATACACCGCAAAGACCACATGCCATTTCCAATCAGAAGCAGAAGTGCAGAGCAGAAAATGCCGGCAAATCAAATATGTTTGGCCCGGGCGCTGCCACAGTATGCGCGCAAAATGTAACACAGTGGCAACGCCAGCAGCGACGTTGACGCTAGCAGCGGCATCGCATATTCAACATAACCAAACAAATTGCTGCTGATGATGATAAGTGCTAAGCTGGACACACAAACATACCTATATATATATATACAAATGTATGTATGTATATATATATATATATATATATATATATAAGCATAAATTCACTTGAATAAAAGAGCAACACTTACATTTGACTAATATTGGCTGATTTTGTTGTTGTCAATTTCGTTGTAACTGCAATCGATATTGTTGTTGTTGTTTACAATTTTCATAAAACATGTTTCACTTGAAGCACACACAGACACATACACTCACTCATACATACAGCATATATATATATATATATATATATATATATACATATATATATATATGTTCACATTGGCTGACAAACAAATTTGCTTTTTGGTACTTTGTTGTTGTTGTTTTTGTTGCGGCTTTTCAGTTTTAAACGCTGAAATCGTTTATAAAATATATATGTATATATATGCACATATTATGGAGAGCGAGAAAGAGAGGCATTAAAACATATTCAACAATAACTTTAGCACACACACATGTACACACGCACACACGCACACACACACACAAATGCGCTGGTGACGACGCTGCTGCCGCGGCTAACAAAAGAGCGCGTCGCAACAGAGACGCAGGCAGAATAAAAAGAAAAATGGTCAAAAAAAAAGCAAAGCAAAAAACAGACAACGAATTTATAGGCGATGATTATTTTTTGACTGAACTCTTTTTTCTGTTTTTACAAATTCACTTTTGTGCTTTTTAGTTTGCTATTAGAAAAAAAAATAGCGAAGCACAATAACAAAAAATAATGCACACACACACGCACAGTTCGCGTCGGTCGTATAACGGTGGAACGACGCGACGACAGCCGATAACGAGAACGGGCCAACGATGTCTTTTTTCACCAACCTTTTTACTGCTGCTGCAGCGTTCGAAACATGCCCAAGAAAAACGACAAAAAAAAATGAAAAAACAGAGTGTTTAAACTATATATGTGTCTATGTACATATATATATTGAGCTTGTTGTTGTCGTTTTGATTAGCTCTGAATTTTGTTTGTAGCCACACCACAGAAAAAAAAGGCGACGAAACCACGAAGACGGACGACCACGAAAAACGCGCGCGCTCACGTCTGAACGTAGCAAAGAGCAAAACGAAAATGAAGAGAAATGGAAAATACGAAAATACCAACGGCATGTGAAATATCACCAACAAAAAAAATACCACATGAATTGAGTAAAAACAGTGCTGGCAAATGCATTTATTAACCGCAGCGGCAGTGTTGGACAGCGTTCTCTCTCGTCTCTGTTTTCCAGCAACCTATCGGCTCGTTCGCTTTATAGCTGATTCGTAGCGTTCACACGCAACACACACACACAAACGCACGCAGCACACACAGACACAAACACATACGCATGCATTCTTCTTGCAGCTTCAATTTAGTTCGCTGCAAGTTTACTTGTTGTTTTGACTTGTGTTATTTGGCTTTCAAAGACCATTTAATTTAACTGCATTGATTTATGGCCAACAACATGGCCCAAAATCGACGCTTGTCTTTCTCACTTGGATCAGGCACTTTTTTTTTTGTTAATCATAAGCTGACAATACTGGCCACAACACGCCTGACGCATTAAACAACACTCACGCTCTGTTGAATTACTGCATTGCGTCGTAGGTCGTTGCATGAATGAATGCACATGTGTAAATGCACAATTTATAATACTTTGCTTTAAGATTTTGGATTTTGAATAGCTTTGTTGTATTTTTATAACTCCACAAGAGCAGGGCTGGCAATTGCCAATATTTGCTTGGCAGGACTGCACATCATGCGTTATCGATGCCGTTAACTTATCGATACATGCATGGCTCAATCAAGTATGCACGAACAAAATAATGGGAAATAAATTAACAGCAGTATAACTTTTACCATGCTCGTTTACCGTCAAACCGGTTGCAAGAACTAATGCTAATTGAACAGCTGTTGTCTGAAGTGTCATTTCAATTTCGAATTAAATACACTTACTACTAAATATGAGAATATAAAAAAATAATAATTAAATAAATAAATAAGCACATTGACTTCAAAACACCAAAATGATTTGATTTGAATTTTGAACCGATTAGCGACTTAAATGTTGTTTGAATTCTCATTTAAATTTCGAATTAAATATGATTGGCACGATTATGTGAATTAACGAAAAATAATAAATAAATAAATAAGGAAATGGACTTTAATATATCAATTAACAATTCAAGCAAAAATTATGATTTGAATTTTGAACCGGTGACCGACTAAAATATACTCAGTTGATCACATGACTTGACATCGATAACGATAGTCAGCTCGGGTTCAAAATCGGTAAATCGAGATCACTCTTAATGTGATATTCATAAATTAATTAAATCCAATTAACTGAGCAACATGTCGACGAAACAACAGCAATTGGATTATATGGAACGATATCTGGTGTACGATATCTTTAAGTATTTTGGCAGAGATGTGGCGCTCCTCTCGCACAGCATCGAGTGCTCCAATGGACTGGACGGCTTCATGTCCGCCCTCTACACAATCCAGCTGGACCTGCGAATGCCCAGTGGCAGGTGAATTATTAATTGAATATTTCCCATTATTATTGTCAGACACACTCAACAAAATGGCATCTTCTCCAGTGATAAAAGCGAACTGGTCCTTGTCAAATTCATGAAGGGCAGCAAAGAGTTTCGCGAATCGAGCAAATCCTACACGCAATGTGCCAACGAGATCTTTCTCTACGCCAAACTGCTGCCAGCCTTTGAGAATCTGTTGCGCAGCAGCCGACTCAACACCGAACTTGCCGCTCAATTTGTGCCCCGCTCCTATTGGGCCACCTACGGCACCGTTGAGGGTGAGTGCTGTGTGTGATATCCTTGATATTCTTAAGTTGATCTCTGGTTTGTTGCAGCATTGGGCGATGGTAGAGAATCGGTGCTGGCGTTGCAGCATCTACGGCCAGGTGGGTATGAGCTTGGACCCAGATTGGCGCTGCGCCAAGATCAATTGGAGGCGATGTCTGTGCAGCTGGGGCAATTCCATGCGCTCGGCTACGCGATGCGCATTGTCCAGCCGCAGTTGCACGAACGCTTGCAATCGGAGCTGATCCCATTGCCATTTGTCGTCGCTGACAACTCGGCCAATCTGTATGCGGTTCTGTATCGCGTGGCCTTTGATCGCTTCTACGAGTTCTACGATCGTTGTGGCAAACAGCTCATCCAAACTGCTTCGTCTTCGTCGGAGGAGGAGGATGCTCGCTTTGCAGATGCCGTGCAGCGTTTGCGTACGAAATACTTTGAGCAACCAATCGATCTGCTGGAGCACATACGCAGCACATCCGGCGAAAGTCACTTTAGCACCTTTCTGCACGGCGATTTCAATCGGAACAATGTGCTCTTTCATGAGGATGACGAGGGGCGGGTGGACAACATCAAGATGATTGACTTCCAGGAGATGCGCTACAGCACAGTCGCCATCGATATCAGTTTCTATCTGTACATGAACATCCCGGCTGCGGAGCGTCTCCAATTGTTTCCCAAACTGTTGCGCCTTTATCATGGACAGATGCTGCAGTTGTTGGAGCTGCTGTTGCAGCGCAACAGGGAAACGCTTGGCGAGGAGCAGATAGAGCAGCTGCTAACGGACTACAGGTGATTGATGGACTGATTGACAGACAGTTTGTGTAACTGATTTATTGCTTGACTAGCTGACTGATGAACAGATTGACGAGTTTTTGACTAGCTGTCTGATTGATAGATTGACTGACTGATTCGTCTAACTGATTCAGATTGATTGTATCCAAACTGAATACGGACTAATTGTTGTTATACAGATTCATTAACTGGCTGATTGATTGACTGACAACAAATGGCTACAACTAATGATTTGTGTATTTTTTCCAGTTATGAGCAATTCGAGGGGCATTTCAAGCGCTATGCGTTCTACGGCGTAATGATCTGCATGCACTTCCTGCCTTGGCTGCTGGGCAGCGAAGCGGACTGCGATCGACTCTCCAAGCTATTTGAGACGGACATGCATGGCGCCGCTTTCCATCAGCTGTCCATGGAGATTGCGGGGGACGAGGCCAATCGCCAAATATTCAACATAATGCGGCATGCCTTCGACCAGGGCTACATGGACTCCATCTGAGGAGTAGCTCCATTCTTCCTATCAACATTCCTATTTTATCGCAATGATTCGCATTTCTTTAGTAATTCCTTATTGTTCGCTTTTGTATTATGTTTATAATCAGTATGTTAGCCTTACGAAAGTGCAATTTTAAATGTCATTTTAGATGTTGAACAGAAGTCGTTTGTAAATTTTAAATGCCAATCAATAAAGTTGATCCTAATTCATAATATGTCGAAAAAGCAGATGCGTTTTTAAGCTGTAACTCGGCTATATGCTAGCGGATTCAAAAAGGACACGCATTGCTGAGCTCACGGAAAAAATGACTATCGCTTGGCATTTAAGGATTTGCACAATTTAAAATTGCTGGGGTTAGTTCAGAAAAAATGAATAAGTCGGTTATAACTTGGCCATTTTCTATCAACTATCAATCGAATTTCCATCGTAACACAGATAATCCTTGGCCAGCCTATGTGAAAAATAATGATTGTTGTTTGGCTTAAGGATCGCCAAAATGCCTGCCCTGTGTCCTGTGTCCAATATCAAACGATTTGTGTTGACCAGTTCGTTACCAACTCATCAAAGGACATCTTAATCGCTTATATTAATAGTAAAGGGCATCATCATATCCTTTAGAAATGTATAAGGATTCTTTGTTGTTGTTGTTTAGAATAAGTTTGAAGAATGCTTGAATCAGTTTAAGCGCTTAAACTATTCCTCAACTAATAGATTTTATGGCTGAGCCTAAGGATATGCAATGGGATTTTGTCTGGGATTATCGACCAACATTGCTCGGGCAAAAGCAAAGCCAACCGGCCTTGATTCACATTTGAATATTTATCTACGTCTTCAATTGAAATGAACTGCTGAAATTTGGTTGGCTTAATGTGTTTTTCTTTTTTTTTGTGGTTCTTTGTTATTTTTAGGCTGTTTGCACAACTGACTTCGGATACAACGAGAACAAGAACAGTTGTCTGTCTATAAAATGGGACTGACGCGAATGGAAGGAGCGCACTTGGATTGCAAAACACCGACGTCCAACATGCGTCATTTGATGGCATTACTCTTGCTGACGCTGGCTACCAGCCAAGCAGTAACAGCGATTCAGGACGACTATGGATCCGCTGGCAGCGACGATATTTACTTGCAGTCCAGTGGTCTGCCCGATCAGGTGGATGCCAAAGAAGAGAATGATACTGATGCTGATACTGATCCTGATGATCCCGATGATGCTGATGATGATGATGATGATGATGATGGTGATGATGATGAGAAAGATGAAGAGCAGCAGGAAAAGCCACTGAATGGATCCGATGTGAACAACATTGAAGCTATTGGCGAGACTGAGTTGAGCTGCGAATATAGTTGTCCGCGCTATTATCGACCCGTCTGTGTCAGTCGTAACGATGAGCTGGTCACCTATGCCACGCCCTGCGAGTTCTTCAATCACCTGCGCTGCTCCAATGTGGCCAAGAGGAAGGGCCAAGCAACGCCCACATTCCAACTATTGTACCACAATGCTTGCCAAAATAATACACAAATAATTCATCCTTAAGCGATACATTTTTTTCTTTCCTTTTTTTGTATTTTGTAAATTAATAACATTAACATTATTTTGAATGTGTAGGGTGGGTCTAGAGAGCCCGTATAAAACTACAGATATGTGTATATATTAGTATATATATTTATCAGCCAATTGTTTGTCTTATTCATTACAAGTTGATTGAAGGGACTGTCTGTCACCGTCACATTCAAATTAACCATTGGAACCTCTTTCTACTTTTCTTTTGGTTTCTTTTACTGACATAGTAGAAATATCTCCAGTTGCAATTACACATCTAATAATCATGATTCATTTGACCAAATACGGTTGACAGTCTACATTTCTTAATTAAATAATAATAACAAAAGAAAAAGTAAGCCGAATGTGCTCGACCGATATTTACCCTGTAGCCAAGCCAATGTTAAGGTTGGTGTCTTTTCTGCCTGACAAATACAAGATAATTCATACATAAATCTTACATATTACAGCTTACATCAAATAATAATCATAATAAAGAACAAGAAAAAAAAAAGAAGGAGAACGTTGCAGTCGGTTGCGTAACCGACTGCGAAATGCTTTGATACCAGAAGTAATACAGCATAATTGGAATTAGTGTCAATTATTGAATTGATATCACGTACAGCTAGATACTCACTAACTAGGTAAAAATGTTTCTTCTGGCCAAAATACTTTATATCAACTACTGAGGAATTTCTCCATACATATAGCGCCCCTTAACAATGCGCTGGACCGTGGTCAGTGGAACCAATAACGGATTGGGAGTAGCAGTGAGAGTGGGATCCACAGCAGCAGTAGCAGGTGGTGGGCCCGCAGCAGCAGGAGTAGGTGTAGGGGGAACAGCACTAGCTAAACTTGAAGCAGCCGTAACCGAGCTAAGATTTATAGGCATCCCAGCTGGTTGCCAGTTGATGACTGAGCTGCGGCGGCTATTGATCTTCGGATTTGGATCGGCGGCAACAAGTTGCTGGGGCCGGAGGAGGTCGCTCATATTGTTGGGATTTAGGGTTTTGCGTCGATTGGCAATCCTGGCAGTGTTGCCCGTGTTGCTTAAGGAGACCTGAAACTGTTGATGCATTGGTGCATTTTTGGTTGCGACATTGCGACTCTGCAACTGACTGATGAGCAGCCGTGGAATTGGTGGCTGCTGAGATTTAAGGACGAGCTCTTCATACACCTGACGGATGTGGGTCACGTCGTTGTAGCGCGTGTGGCGCAGGCTATTCTTGCTAATGATTAGCCCATTTGGGAAATGATACAGCACCTGCATGAGGAACTTCTTGAGACAAGCATAGGGATGCACCTGATTGAAGCGAGCCACCTCGTCACGATGCTGCGTATAATAGTGCTGTATGTACTTATCGAAACTGGTCTGCTGCATGCCGCACATATTACAGAATCGAAACTTCTTATAATGATCAAGCATATGACGCAGCGTCACCAACTCGACGGTCGACGCGAATATGCATATCGAGCAGTGATATGTGATCAGCTGCTTCACCTTACTGAAACAGAAGTCCTCCGGCGAGTTGCTATGCACCAGCTGACCATGCTGGGCCATCGCAATATTTGTGGGCATTACGATGCGACAAATTTTACACTGATAATACTCGTTGGGGCATTCTGTCTCCGTGGTGCCCAGCTTGACCAGTGTGTCAATTTGCCTGTCCTTTAGATACTTTAGATCGTTTGACATGTGCTCCTCCGACTCGATATGATTGGTCAGCAGTGCCACATTGCTATAGCGATAATTGCAGAAGGCACACTCGTCCGGCCGACGAAGATCGCAAGCCACCATTCGGCGTATGGAGTGCGCTTGTGGCAAATGGTTCTCCATCAGCGATTTTGCATTGCCCACAAATGTCCGGCATTCCGGACAGCGCAACTGTGGCTGTGCGCTAAAATAGAACGGCAATTCCTTATGCTTCTTCGCCCAGTGCTGGGTGCGCAGCGTGACAACGTCGCCACTTGTCGCAGTGCAATGCAAACAGGCAAACTCCAAATTGTCCTGCAAGTGCAAATTAGCAATAATTAGTAAAGATAATTTTGTCGTTAATGCCATCATCCTTCGATCAACAACGATCCGTCAGCTCGAATAATACAACAACTGCAACTGCAACCGCGCAACAGTTTCACATCGACTTCATCTTGATCCCTGCCCTGGTTGGTTATTGAAATGCATTTCACTCATACTACTACTACTACTACAGGAGCTCAACACTTCCTCTGTCACAGTCATAGCGTATCACAGCTCTCTCTCTCTGCCTGTCTGTCTGTCTCTCTATCTCTCTCTCTCTCTGATGTTCCAATCCAATCCAAGGGGGGACTGAACAGTGTCTGCAGATACTGCAGGATATAGCGCAGCAGTGAAAATAACGAGTCCAAAGAGTAGTTGGTGAGTTACGGTCCAAGGCAGACCAGCTCGGAGTACACAATTGGCTTGCGCTAAGATGGTATCTGGATTATATGCATTTATATTAAGAGAACCACAACGAAGAAAGGCAAAGGCCACAATTGGGCTGGGCCATCAGGTGTCTAGCTTTTATGCAAGATGCAATGACCATGGGTAAGAACAGACTTAGAACACTTACCGGTCTCTCGACCGGACCTTGTAGACTAAGAAGACATTTAACTAAACTATGTATTGTCAAAGAAGAAAACATCTAGAAAAGTAAACAAGGGAAACAAATCGACGAAGATTCCTTTGCAACTTACATAATCTTCAATCTCCTCATCCGATGATGACAGTTCGATTGCATCGTTGTCAAGCACCATCGGTGCAGAGGTGGTGTTGCGGCTACTGCTGCTTACTGTTGTTGTGGTGCTAATGGTGGTCGCACCATTGGTTGGTTCTACCCCAATTGGATGGGCCATCGCCCAGGAATCGGTGTCAAGCAGCTCATTGGTGACACGCTCAAACTGGTGCACGGCCAGTCCCATTTGGCCTGCGTGCTCGTCCCGCAAATGCGCAACAATCTTGCGCTCGACGGCCACTCCGAATGGGCAGTGGGGGCAGTTGAACTGAAAATTGGTTTTGTGTTTGTAGCCACAGTGGTTGAGCATCTGTTGATAAATAGTTTCTGCCTTGCCGCAAGTGTTGCAGTAAAAGCCGAGCGTTTGTTGCATCTTCGTTTGGATCTGATTATAGTTCATGATTGGTTGCATCCGCTGATTGCTATGGTTGCGTTGCATATGTTGTATAACGTTCGTTACCACATCGTTCTCTACGTCACAGAATGCACAACTGTACTGATGCTTGCGTCCGTGCACTTGCTCCACATGCTGCACGGTGTCCTCATGGCTGACCAGCGTCTTGTTGCACAAATTGCACACCCAATCGATCTCTCCGATGCGCATCGTTGCAACTACAACAAAGACAAAACCACAAATACAAAATTAAATTCACGAGTTAGTTTTCTCCAAATATTTCCAGTACACAATTCAATATCGAATCTCAACCAATTTTCGATATTTTGTTGAGTTATGTTGGCAATTGAGAAACGTCGAGATTTCAATTGTAGGAGAAAAGATAAGATTGATTATTGGTTCGGGACACTCACTTGACTTGAACCAACGCTTCTCTGTGCTTAGGGCAGAGTCATCGCTGCGCTTCGCAATGATGATATCGACATTGGTTCCCAAATGCTTCTCTTGAATGTGCCGTTCGATGAAGGAGCGCTTTGGATGAAACGTGCCACACTTGCCGCACTGATAGATGTGTCGCTTGTGGTATGACAGATGCTCGAGCACTTTGTCGGGCGTATAGATATTCTCCTCGGTGGAGCAGTGCAAGCATTTAAAGTTTTGATCATACACATGCATCTCGATCAGGTGGCGACGCAGCGACATCTCAGTGTCCCAATGGGTGTGGCAATCCGCAACGCCGCACATAAAGCGCCTATCCTTGGGCACATAAGACCACATGCAAGAGCGAGGCACCTGAGCGCCCGGCTCCAACAATTGTGTTGCACGATGTGCAGTTGCTTCACTCCCATCTAATGTCGGCGTGCCATTTGTCTCGACTGTTTGCTCTTGCTGGGAGACCATCATATGCTGCTGCTGCTGCTGCTGCGGCTGCGACTGCTGCGGCAGCGACTGCACATCCTGTTGATCCTTTTGATAGGCAGTGCGCACCGCCTGCTCCCTGTGTGCCAGCAGATGGGTGTTCAGCTCGTTGTATTTGAGCGTGTGGAATTGACACTCGCCGCAAAACAGCTCCTTTGTGAAGAATGCCTTGCGTGGCACCAGACGGTACTCCGATGGTCGATAAATACACTTGGTGCCATCGAGTCGCATCTGCCGCTCGGCCAGCAACTTTTTCACAAATTCCTCCATTTGTTTGGGGCCAAATGGTTGCTCGATGACGGCAACCCAACACTTGCTCGCCTCACTCGCCACCGCGATGCCACCGTGTGGCATGGGCAGCGATGCGTTCAGTTCGATAAACTGTTGCTGGAACCAGACCAGCCTATATAGTTCGTAGTGTCGCTTCATCATATGTTGATGCATCAGGCGGCGATTCGATGTCGTCCCGAGGCAAATGCCGCAAAAGTATTTGTGGCGTGCGTGTAACTGATACAGATGCGAACGCAACGATGCCGGATGATCGAACGATCGCCGGCAGAACTTGCAGTTAAGTGGTCCCATGCCCGGATTACTCGACATATGGTACATCACATGGCTGACGAAGGGCTTCTCATCCGTTAATGAGACGGAGCACGCCTTGACCGGACAACCGTAAAGCTTCTTCTCTGCAATCATATCGAAATTGAAATTAATAATAATATAATCTATTAATCTATATACATATTAATATATTGATGTGAACTCCATTTGAACTAACCTGAAAAGCCAGTGGGTCCGAGTAGCTCCAGCACATTGGACATGGTTATGCCGCTGTTGTCCTCTACCGCTGATCGCTGAGTTGTGCCGCAGTTGGATGAGGATGTGCTGGAGTTGCTAGGATTTGTGGCCGTCGCCGTGTCCGCGAATGTCTCAGACAACTCCTCAAGTTCGGAGCGGGAGGCGAGCCCATGCTCGATGACGCCGTGACGCACAAAATCATTGACATCCCTGCCAACGTGGGAGCAGTAGGCGCACTGCAGATAGTCTTTGCTGCCAAAGCTAAAGCAGTGGAACTTCATGTGCTCCTTGATGCAGATGACAGTGTGGGCGCAAAAGTTACAATTGATTGCCATGCAACGGAAACGATCGGCGATGAGGCGTGTCGGCTGCCGCTGCTGCTGTTGCTGCTGCTGCTGGTGCAACTGCAACTGATGCGCTGATGCGCTGTCCCGGTTAGGATTATGGGGCTCAATGGTTATGTTGGTCTGTGCCAGCTCATTCGCACTGGAATCGCTCGTTAGTCTTTGGGTGAGCACAAATGCCCTGTTGCTAACAACAGCGGGTGGCAACGGCTGCGGCAACGGTGGCAGCGGCGGTGGCGCACCAGCAGCCAGGCTAAACACCTGATTGATGGCCAGACCAAGCTCGGAGGGATGACTGATAACCGTGCCACTGGCTACTGGCAATGGAACCGGAACTGGAGCCAGTGCCAGCACAGACGTTGCAGACGTTCCCGACGCCATTAGATAATCATCCATGCCAACGCCAACAGCAGCATTGAGTGCCTGCTGCTGCTGTTGCGGCTGCGACTGGGTGGGCGGACGTGATTCAGCGTCCAGCAAATTGCGCAGCATTTCATTTTTATTGGCAACATCCGATTGTTCCTCCTGCTGATGCTGCTCCTGCTCTTGCTCTTGCTGTTCCGACTCGGTGCCCAGGCGATCCCCGGTAAAGCGGCGCACACGCAGCTTGGGTGAAGTGATCTCTGCTTGGGCTGAATCAGCCGCAGCAGCAACATCAATCGATGTATCAGCAGCAACAACATCAATCGATGTAGCATCAGCAGAAGCATCAGTAACAGTCGCAGTCGAAGTCGCCAATGTATTCGTCTCCATGTGATAGTTGATCATGTGATGCAGCTCATCAACAATGCTTAGCTGTTGCTGCTGCTGAGGTGACTGCTCCGGGCAGCTGTTGCATTTGCCGCTCCAGCGGATCAGCGGATGTTCGCGCATAATATGATTCTCCAGGCCCTCCACCTCGTTGGAGAATAGAAATTTGCAGCTACTGTACATGCAGTAGTAGGCCGGCTGCTGTGTGAGCATGTCCCGCTTACGAAATGCGACGTTCTCGATGATGGTTTGGCCGGACGTTGAAGTTGCGCTAATCTTGTCTATTACGTTGGACAGCGTCGGCGTTGCGGCTTCCGAATCGGGTACATTGTTGTCGCTGCAATTGCTGGCCGGCGATGCTGAATGTTTCCTGCTTGCTTTGCTGCTAATGCTGCTGCTCTTGCTGTTGCCGTTGCCGCCGTTGGCGTTGGAACTTTTAAGCTTAAGGCACAAATTGTTATAATTGTAGAAAATCGATTTTTGACCACCCGAACAGTGGATAGACTCAACATCGATCCACTCCTTCTCGGATTCCTGCTGTTCCAGCTGCATTGCTTCCGCTTCCGCTTCCAGTTCGCATTCGTTGCGTACCAGCAGCGGCTCCAGTTCTGCCGGTGGCATGCATATATCATCGATATTTATGGCAAAAACCGCATCCGCCTGCTGCTCCATGTCCACATCCGCCTGCTGCTCCATGTCCACATCCGCCTGCTGCTCCATTTCCACATCCGCCTGCTGCTCCATTTCCACATCCGCCTGCTGCTCCATTTCCACATCCGCCTCCTGCTCCACATCCGCCTGCTGCTCCACATCTGTTGTCTGTTCAGCTTCTTCCACTTCCTGTGCTACTTCTGTCTTCTGCCCTAGTTCGGCTTCCTGTTCCGCTGAATTCGTTGCCTTCGTCGTCATATTGACTTCATTTTCTATTGTCTCGTGCTGCTTCTTGTTTGGAGCGCCGATGACTTTGACGACTTTGTCGGGCTGCTCAGTCTTCAGTTTGGTCAACTCCTTTGCCTCATGACTCGTTATTAGTGCTTTAATCTGGGAATTTGTTGTCACGACGGGCACATCTTTGATCTGACAGATTATTAGTTGCTCGCCCAAGCCCGCCAGCGATCCGTCGCTGTTGTTGAGGCCATGCTGGAGCTGCCAGTGATGCACCAGATTATTGCGACACAGTTGCACAAAATCGCACAGATGGCAGACATGAATGCTCAACGGCTGTTTGACACTAAATTGTTTATTGTGCAGTATCTGAGCGCCCTTGCCACATTTCGCCACATGATTATCCATGATTCGATGACGCGACAACTTGCAGCGCGAGCATCTATACTTTGCCTCTCCGGTATGTGCAGCAATATGGTGCACCCAGTTGATAGCTGTCATCTCTGTCGTTTTAATGCAAAACGGACAATGGTAGTAATACTTAATCCTGGACTGTTTGAAAGCATAGATGGGCCGATTGCCAATGCCGAGGCGCAGCTTCTGCAGCATTCCAGGTGGCATACGGGCGAAATAGAACTCGTTATGATGCTGTAAATAGTGGAGCACTGGGCTCCTAACATTCTTCGTACAAACAACACAGCGCTTGGCATCCTCGTATTTGGAATGCCAATCGGGATTGGTGTTTCTAACGCCCATCAACGCTGCCCTCAACATCGCCTTTAGCTGTTTGCACTCTTCGATTTTGACACGACAACGCTTGGTGCGTAGCGGCACAGTGGTTTGTCCTTTTTTGTCCTTGAAACTGGCACGATCGAGTCCAGCAACAGATCGGGCAAACGGTTTGCCCCGTCGCGCCAAATTACATTTGTAGGGCTCCAGCTCAGCGTTGATGGCGAAGATGTTGTTGCTGCTGCTGTCGCCAATGCTATTGTGGCAACTGGGCAATCTGCTGCTGCTATTGCTGCAACTGGCGCCGTCGTCGGTCTGAGATTGATGTTGCCGCTTTTGGACGGTGCAGGCACGTCTGCCAGTCGCGCGCAATACATCATCCGCGTAATACATCTGGGCAATGTCGTCGTTGAGCTTTTCCAGCTCGCTGCGCTTGCCTCGTGTTTTTGGTGGCGGCAACAGGACGACCTCGTTCGGTGGCGCTGCATCATTGCCAACCACATTCGAATCGTGACACGGACTCTTAGCTGCTGACAAAGTCTTCGTCGTCGTCTTCGTCTTCATCTTCGTCGTCGTCTTCGTCTTCGTCGTCGTCGTCGTCGCTGGTGTCTTTGGCTTCGTCTCTAGTGGTTTTTTCGCCAATTTGAACACGTTGCGACTGAGCTGCGTCTCGTTGAGCGTCAGATCGGCGAAGCGCGTTCGCCGCTTTCCGGCGATTATATTGTGCGTGGAGATGCTGCAATTGTCGTTGCTCCTCTCAAACATAGTTGCTAGATTTTTGTTGGCCGCCACCGTCTGCTTCACCTTCTCTTGTCGGTGATGCTCCACAACATCTTCGTACATATAACTATTGCCCGTAAACAGTTCCGATTTGTCTATCAGCGATTTGCTGGCCGTCGGCATCATTGATTTCCGACGCTTCGCAATACGTATCGGTTGTCGTTCCGTCGACAGTTTCATGCGGATTTTGACCGGCGATTCCACGACATTGACATCACTTTCTGTATCTGTGCCTGTGGGTGATACGGTTACGACGTGCGCAACCGGTCCGAAAACTACTTTGATCTTGGGCAGCTTTGGCAACGCCTCTTTCTTTTTTTGCTCAGCTGTTTCTGCAGATTTTTTCTCAAGAGGCACCTGCTCCTCCTCCACATTGGCCAGATTGGAGACCTCTTTTTCATTGGATTTGCTTGACTTATCCATTTTGTTCGACTGCTTTACTGCTTTATCCAACTTGTCAGATTTATGCGGCTTTGACGCTTTATTTGATTCATTGCCGTTGTTATCTGTGGTCGGCAAGCTTAACTCCTTACCAATAGCATTATCTTTAGGGGACTCTGGCTCACCACAAATTGCTGCTTCTTGCTTTTCATCGGACTTATCGGTTTTATCAGGCTTCTGGCCACCTTTCTCTCCCTTATGCTCTTCAGTCGACTTTTCCTCAGTTTTCTCAGTTCTCTGATCGCTTTTCTCTCCCTTATGCTCTACATTCAATTTATCGGCAGCCATCTTTTTGGGTATCTTGAAATCGATCTTCTTAGTTTGTCGTGACTGGACAACGTCACGATATGAGGTATCCAGCTGCACACGATCTTTGTTCAGGACCACTGGTGGCGTAGTAGTTACAGGCGGCTCTCTAACCAGACTCTCCAGCTGACGTTGCTTCTCCGTTGCCTCCAGCTGGCGTCGCTTCTCTGCTTGTTCCTTGGCAGCCGCTGCAGCTTTTGCCTGTCGGTGTTCGCGATAAGTGCGTGGGCTTTCAGTGCCAAACCCGGGTGGAGGGAAGCGGGGCTTGACACCTCCGCCGCGGCTCGACTTGTTAAAAGAAAATTTGTTTTGTTTGTTATTGGGCCAATTTGCGTTGCTGTTGTTATTATTGTTAATATAGCTATAATTGTTGTTATTGTTGCCATTGTTGGAGGATTGCCAGTTGAGACCACCTCCTTGCTGGGCCTCCTCAAATCCATTGTAAGAGGCATTCTGGAAGGGTGCTGTTCGTTGTGCATGTCCCAATTGCTGATGATTTAATGCTGGCGCAGCTGTTGCTCCTGGCTGGTACTGCTGTTGTTGTTGTTGCTGTGACCCAGATTGTAATAAAGCATTAGTGTTGATCCAAGTCATTGTTCGCGGATCACGCATCTCTGCTTGGCTGGGCAAAGTGTTGTATCGCCGCTGAACGGACTCATTGAATTCGTTGACAGCAGCAACCGCTGTGGAACTGAGCTTCAATTCTGAAGTTGATGTTCTTTTATTTCGATTGAGTGGAGCATGTGGCCTCATCGCTGGCACATTGGGAATGTTATGTGCAGCACATGTTATGTTAATTAGCGACAATGGTGGCATCGGCGGCGGCATTGGCGGCGGCGATGACAATGCCAATGGCACCCAATTTGATTGCGCAGTTTGTATTGGCACTGGTGCAGGAACTGGCATTGGCATTGCCATTGCCTCTGGAACAATCACGTTTGGCGGCGATGGATTTAGATAAGTCGATTTGTGGCCACGCGGATCATTGGAATTGGAGGCCATCGGCTTGACTAAAGCAGCACCCTTGCTGGCTCTTAAAGCGGCAAGCTTCTTGCGCGCCTCCTCCAGCGAGGATAGCTTGGAATGATCTTCCTCGGCAATATCAGCGGACTCAGAAGCCAAAGGTTTACTGGTTACTGGCGGTGGCGGTGGATTGAATCTGCGCTCAAACATCGGTGAAGGACAGCTGGCTTCGGAGCTGCTGCAACTATTTGTTGACTTTGGCGATTGTGGTGGAGGTGGATTGGATCTGCGCTCATAGACCGGTCGCCGCATACCAATGATTGAGCTTAGATCCAAGCTTTTCTCAGCCGAAGGTCTTGGGTTACATTTACGCTCTGTGTCCGCTTTGTAATTTGGCGACAAGCTTAAATCTATATGTACGGTCGTCATAGGCTTTGGTGTGATGAGACTGTGCTTGGGTGGATGAGATCTGCGTTCAAAATCAGCAATGGGCTTGTCTGAACTTCGCGCAGGTGGATTCGACTTGCGTAAATCCTGTGGCAACCGTTTATCTGACATATCTTCTGATGTTTTAACTGAAGGCGTTACCGTTGACTTGGGTTTAACCGGTGCAGCTTTAGTTCTCGGTGGATTTGATTTAGTCATAAGTTGGGACGTCGAAACCGTGACTGAATCCTCATGCTGCTTTGTGCTGAGCGCCTCGGCAGTTCTTTTGGAGGTAGATGGAAGATCGGATGGTTCCGGCGAGTCGTCAAGGTCAATAACCTCGTTAACCAGAAGCTGCAATTGATTTATAATTATAAAATTATCACACAATTCTATTGCTTAACTATATTTCACATACGGTTCCGAATTTGGTTTTGAGTTTATTAATAACACCCTCAATTTTATCAATCTTATCCCCGGGAAATCGGCGAAAGAATTCCGATGGAGCCATACTACAAATTTCAACATTTGATTAATGGAATTATTACATCAGTTATCGATTATATATTATCGATAACTTACTCGCTCTCCAGCAGCCGCAAGAGAATTTCCAGATGGCGATATTGCACTGAAGCCAACTGATGACCATGGGTCTGCAGCACATTCTTAATGAATGGTGCCGAGGCGCGCAGCTTCTTTACCTTGGCGGCATCGCCATTCTTCTGCTGGTCTTTGAAGACCTCTTTCACATTAGTTTGATCAGCCATTTATAATTGCCAAATATTCTAGAAAAATAAACAAAAACAATATTTACACTACAGCTTTTTATTTGAATTCACAATAAATTATATATATATCCCTTATCCCTTATATGATGTCAAACCGGAATCGGAAACACATGTTTATCGAGTGAAATTCAGAATCGGAACCAAAATCACATATATTTTTTTTTTAAGAACCAATACGAGAACCAGTACCGATACCATTACTCCCAAAAGGAGCGTTGCGGAACATCATTGTATATTTGTACATACATACATATACACAATGTATGCCATGCATTGGAGACATACACATACATTTGTATCATGGTACACAAATATGTGTATATAAGTTTAGTTTGCCTGGCTTTACATTTAACAATACATAATTGGAATGTAGTTTAAACAAACACATACTGCCGAATTATGAATCAGCGTATTTGCTGCAAAATATAATAAACGCGGCTGTATTGGAACGCACTGAGTCTAAGTCTACACATGTATTCAAACCATCACAAGCACTTAATTTTACTTTATTATTAAAATGAATTTTACACAACAGCTAAATGTTAAATCAAACAATTATTTAAATAAAAGAAAAGAAAACAAAACAAAAATGACGCGCTCGAGAAACTCATCTGACGATGCTTCGTCGCCGAGATGCGACTGACAAATGAGGAAATTGCAAGCAATGTGCGAGTGTGTTGCCACCTAGTGGCAACTTTTTTTTTGTGTGACAATATTACAGATTTGATGGCTTTAAACGATATGGTAGCACTATACATTAAATATATATGTATAAAAAATAATATATTACGTGCCAGATCTGCATTATATTTTTTATACAAATGGTTTTTAAGAGCTGATGAAGTCACTAGTTTGCTCTTAAATATTTTGAACATGTTGCCCGCATTATAGACATCTGGCAACGCCAAGATTGACATAGCGCTAATAACGAATTCGCCGGAATTCTCCTTCTGTAGTTGCTTTCGTTTATTCGTTTGCCGTTCGTTTGCTGTTTGCCGTTTGGTTATTATTGTGTCTAGGTGCGCTTGCGTAAGTGTGTGTGCGTATCGCTCTCAGGGTAGCAAAATTTGCTTTACCTGCCACAGATCTGCTTCTCAGCTGGGCAAATCCATTTTTATTTCTTCTCTTCGTCTTACAGTTCAGTATGGTTGTGTAACAAGGTTTGTGTGCGTGTGTATACACTATTGTGAGACCCATGCACAATATGTATGTATATGCATATTCATATGCATGCTTTCAACTGACGTTTAATATGCATATGTACATATGTATGTACATACGAACGTATATTGCAGTAAAACGGAACTTTTTTTTGTGTTTCTTTTGTTTTTAATATTCTTATCATCAAATTCAAGAGGAGATGCTTCCTTCTGCGTGTCACATACATTTGCACAAAACCATTATACCCTTTTTACTCATTTTCACTGAGTTCAGGGTATAATTATTTGAATCGTCAAGCAAAAAGTGTGCTTATGAAAGCCATAGAGGCGAGAAAATAAATTCCTTGTTTGGCTCTTTGCAAACATTTTTTTTGTAAGATTCCACGAGTAAAATGAATTGCAATTTAATGAGCGAAAATTGTTTCGAACTGAAAACAGGGCCTAAGCAAAAAAAAAACTCCTAAGTAGCTATGACGAGTGTATGAATCTAGGCAACAATTATGTTTGGATAGTAACGACTTTCTAATGGAAAATTTAAGCTAGACTTCTGTAAGTTTCACGCTTACTACCCACCCCAAAAAATGAGCTAGAGTTACCAAACTTGTATGGTACATTATTAACAACCTGCTTCTAATATTCGCAAGAAAAATTTGTGGCCACCCCCAATCCGCCTCAAAAGTTGCAAAAATCCGATATATCCCAAACTTTTAGAGTTAAAGTTACAAAACTTGGAAAATCCTAACATTGAGAGCAAAATTTCTTGAGCAGTAAATTTATTTTATCGGCTACCCGTAATATACCAACCAAATTTGATGGACTCCAAGTCAAAAAACTGCGGAACTGGGCGTGGCATTTGCCGATCTTTGAAGGACATTGCACGCAGCCTATCAACCAAAATTTGTGAATGTAGCCTTAAAATTGTGGAAGTTATGTGGTTTTATCGATTTGTGACGATCGATTTTTATCGATTTCCTAGCCCCCCCAATTGTAACACTTTGTCTTTGTATAAAAAAATGTAAAATTGCGCCAGTTCTTTTTATTTTTTAAATCGAGTTATTCATTATGAATGACTATTTTCGATTTGTAAACAGGACTTTAGACATAAGTACGAATAAGACAATTCTGTCACTCAGTCTTGTTATCGATAATCAATAATTGCATTGTCTACGTAGCGAAAGATTAGGACATGTTTCGTTATCGATAGCTGGAAATTTGTTTTCGGACACAAATTCCGTTTGATTTCTTTCTCTTTCTTCCACCTTCTTTTTATTTTCAGCGTAATTTTTGACGGAGCAACATTCAAAATGTAAGGTGCTGGAAAATATTGCATTTATATTCTAATTAAATTATTATGCATGTAGTTTTTTTTTTGTCTGTTTTGAAATTAGATATTTTCAAAAATCTTAGGAGACAAGGTCGTCCTGTGTGTTATAGTTGAAATGCAACCGCAATTTTACTCTCTTGCGTGTTTTACACAATACAAGCTCTGGCAATTTAATGTTATATATTCTTTCGATTCTTTTCTAGGTCTTATTCAGACCCCAAATTATTCAATGTATTTTTTTCCTTGTCTTTTCAACGTTCTTATGCCAGAATGATACAATAATATGGTCTCAGTGCATTCATTACGCAGTATTCTGATCCCATTGTAGTTATATTTATGTTCTGGTACGTGGAGTGAACGGGTTCCGGTAAAATGTCTGAGGTGGTTCCAATTTCATGTGTACTGGATGTGTATGTTGTGATTCTAATACGGTCTTTTCGAGACTAGTATCATAAGTTCCGGTTATAGATTCTTAATAAATGTTGATTTTTGGTTCCGGATTTACACTTCAATAGGCATATTTCCGTATCATATTTCGGATTGACTCTGTGATTGCCAGCGAGTTGCGATCATTTTCTGAAATCGTTTAACGTGTCACGTTCATCAGAGTTATGATTTCATCTTTTTTTCATATTTAATAATCCAAGGACACCTAAAAATCATCTTATGATAAAAGAAGACCCTTAACACATAGGAAACCATAACGGTATTCGAGATTCCAATAGATCAGAACAGTATCGATTTGCGATGCATCCATTCATCATCAATGGAGATTCCACTACAAAAGTTCTTTTTTTTTTTAATGTTATCGATAATTTATCTGTATTATCTGAATAAAAAAAAGTGTAAAACCTGGAAATTTTAATTTTTGTGTGAATTTTATGAAAAGTGTTGGAAATAACTGTATTTGCCAATGCACACCGCAGCTTGTCTTGCATTCCCGTTTTGTAGTCTTAATCTGTTGTTGCCTGCGAGCAACGGTAATTGTAAGTTTCTTATGATCAGCACCTTCTTCGATGCTATGTTTAAGCTACTTTCATGAAGTAAGAGTCAGTCGCTTTTGATCGCTTGAATCGCGTAGTATAAGTCGCATGAAGCGGACATATATTCTGTATTAAATACAAAGCTCTGAATAAATATAAACCCCAAGTTATAATAAAAAGTATAAAATTGATATACTTTGACGGCGGTTATCGGCAATCGTCCTCCTTCCAAATCGAAATACATAAAGTTGTGAAAAGCGATGGCCTAGCAGCATGTTATCAGCCTGATTTGGGTGCCTGGTCACCAAAATATTGAAGGCAGTTGCAAGGCTGATGAACTAGCTAGGATAGACACATTGTTACCCCTTCTCACTGAACTCTGGCTACCTGTAAGCTTCAAATCAAAGAATAAAATATACGCAGATCTAACGACACAAGACGAAATGCAAACTGCGGTCCCACGGTCCCCGGATAGCCGACCAAGAGTTAGAGAACTGTATAATATCAGTCGCACGAACAGAAGAATCTCCTGAGCACTTCTGTTTCTGCCCAGCACTGGCCAGTAAAAGACTTGTCACACTGGAAAGCCTCTTTCTAACAAATCGATCACAGTTAGCGAATATAGAACCAACCAAGATTGCGAAATTAATAAACGCAACTGGCTGGACGCCACTCTGATCTCAGCTTACACGAGTGCCAGAGAAACTGAGTGAGATGCCACACTGTATCACAGGGGCCAAGCATGGCCAATGTGCGTCGACTCTATGGACGCCAACCGACTAACCTAACCTATTTTCTTGGCTCTCTTTAGGATTCACAAACGAAATATATTGCATTGTCGTGAATGAAAGTTTTTATCGAAGGAACAACAGGATTCAAATACAAAAAAAAATAAAAATAAAAAAACATGAAAAAATGGTAAAAGTAAATTATTTGCCGTTTAATTTATTTATGTACTGCAATAAAAATACGAAAACCCCTAAATTGTTAGCTAAAATATAAAAATATTGAATAACGTCAGATAAGCATATTAAGCTTGATGGAATTGACGCACACAGAGTCGAAATTTCCAAGCCTTTCAAATTGAAGCTGATCACCAATACACACTTGAATCTTGCGAAATAGAATACATTGAAAGAATAACCACGAAAAGAGGCAAGCGAGGGACATACGGACGCAAACATACACTTGAACATATTTATATGTGTATTAGAGTTGCACAGACGCAACAAAAAAATACCGAGAACAAGAACATTTAATGCTACACATATATGTACATATTTCATATTCATATGCACACATACATACATACTTACAAATATACCTAGTGAATTATAAAAGTAAAACGTTCGTAATCTTAAGTAACTCACCAAAGAAGATTTAATATATATTTTTTATTGTAGTTTTTCAACGATGAGTCCAGTTTCTCTTTGCACTGCAAGTTTCACGAGGTTCACATTTCCGAAGTCTGAGTTGAAATGACACAATTTCCAAAGATAATGGAATTGACGCACACAGAATCGAAATTTCCAAGCCTTTCAAATTGAAGCTGATCACCAATACACACTTGAATCTTGCGAAATAGAATACATTGAAAGAATAACCACGAAAAGAGGCAAGCGAGGGACATACGGACGCAAACATACACTTGAACATATTTATATGTGTATTAGAGTTGCACAGACGCAACAGAACAATACCGAGAACAAGAACATTTAATGCTACACATATATGTACATATTTCATATTCATATGCACACATACATACATACTTACAAATATACCTAGTGAATTATAAAAGTAAAACGTTCGTAATCTTAAGTAACTCACCAAAGAAGATTTAATATATTTTTTTTATTGTAGTTTTTCAACGATGAGTCCAATTTCTCTTTGCACTTCAAATTTCACGAGGTTCACATTTCCGAAGTCTGAGTTGAAATGACACAATCTCCAAATAAGTGACGTTTTGCTGTTTCTGGCATGTTTCTAGCAACCTGAGAGGTTACTTACCCCGAAAAAGCGTGTGACGTCACAGCAAGAATATTAATATGTACGTGTAAGTGGGCTCAAAATTTCCTACATACATATAGGTAATGCTTTTTTATTTGATTGTTTATATAAAAAAGAAGATAAATTAAAGCAATTTGTTTATTTAATATAGCAAAATGTATAATAAAAAACCTCCAACGCGTTGTGCAGATTGCGTTGCGAAGTGTGGCAACGCCGGCTTTGTGTAACCTCTGCTGGTCGCCTGCACATGCCTCTAGTGGCACAAGAAAACGACACAGTTCGCCGCACTGCTACGAATTCGCCTCAATTCTCACGATTATTGCTCCTTCTGTTTCTTACCATTCGTACGGTCACATCGCACCACCAGTCGACGCCAGACGTTTGGGCTGACTGTAGCTCTTCACGCTTTTATTTGTAAATATGTATATGTGTACAAATGTATACACAAAATGTATGTATGTATTGCAATGCTGATACAGTTGTGTAGCAACTGATGATCTGTGCTGAGCTATCAAAAGCTGGCCACGTAATGAAGCTTGGAGTAAGTTCATACATACACACACACATACGTATATAAAGATGTGACGGTGTATGCGCATGTGTATGTGTGAGTCTTTGTCTTTTTTTTCTTTCGATTTTCTTTAGAAGTAACAAAACAGTTTTTATTAATGATCTCAATTTACACACAGATGGATATTGCTTATCGAATAAACTACAAATGAAATAGTGTATGATTAGAGATTAGAGACGCAAGGCGTATGGGAATATTGGTAAGGTAAGGCATGGTAGGTAAAGACAGTGTCTTGCACTGTGCTTAACGCTACTTGATCTCGCTTAACACTAAGTAATTTTTACAAAAATAATTAAATCAATTATATTACAAAGAAATACAATATATATTTATATATATATACATAAATATATATAGATATACACATGTATGTATAATAAGAAATAATAAATCAGAAGCACATTCACATATTTTATTTTTAAAAAATCTTTTTCGATTTTGTCGACGTTTGGGTTTTTGTCCTAGTCCTAATACTACAGTCTGCTGCTCTCGGCGCCATTGTGACGTGGCTGAGTGGATTGTGACTTCTCGTATCCGTTGCTGGACATCTGAAGGTGTTGCGGCAACTGGGCGGGACGACCATTCGACAGCAGTGTCTCGTCCACACTGAAAACGGAGTTGTCATGTCCGTGTGCATGTGGCGTGCACCTAAAACTGCATCCGGATGTGTCTTCTGTGCCTCCTGCTCCGATTCATTCGGCTTGGGCTTGCCTTCTAGCAAGAAACAGGTGATAAGGAACAGTATGGAGGCTATGGAGGAAAGAACGGAAACGTTACAAAATATCGCTCGCATTAAATACACGTGCAATTCGATATGAAACTGGAATGCTGGTTCTTCCGTAAAGTATGAGTGTGAGTGCTCTAACTAACTAATCCCAACATATTGTACAGCTGGTTTCATCGAGTTCAATAACCGATCAAAATTTGGGCAAACGTGTTTCACTACGCAATTGGAATAGTGATGAAAAGAGATGAGGGAAACAAGCAATTTGCATTTCCATTTTATGGTGTGTGTCAAATGGTGTTCCCACTTTATTTCTGGTGTTCCCACACAACTGTTCTCTTTTCCTCTGTTTGTGTTTCCTTTCGTTTTTTCCACCAATGGAACCCTTGACGTTTCTATCCGCCTTCATTGGTTGGGATGATATTGATGAAGGATGAAGGATGAAGGTTGGAATGAAGATGATGACGGGAAATTTCTGATACTTACTGATGCCATAAAAGCCCGCATAGAAGAGCATTATAGAGCCGCGATAACCGATGACCTTGGCCACAGGATCCACGAGAATGGGCAGATTGCCGCCAATGTTGTTCATGACAAAGAGGAAGACGCCAATGGTTGAGGAGCGGACACGCAACGGCACAATCTCAACGACAATGGCAAACACAATACCGAACCACATTTCGGCAAAGAAGTAGCTCAGTCCGAGCGTAATCATGGCCCACAACGGATCAAAATAGACAGAGCCAAACGCTGGCAGAGTGGCAATCAATTGGCTAATGGCCAACACAAATGCACGCGAACGAATGCCCATCTTGGCGACAATCTTGTCGGAGACAACGCCGCCAACGACAACACCAACGCTACCAATACCAATGGTGACGGCAAAGAGCCACCAGCCGAGATCCACGTCCGGGAAATACGTATTATAGTAGAGATCCGCATTGTAGGCAAAGGTCATACCACCGCTGTGACTTATCGAGGCGGCAATCATGAGCATTATCATCGCCGGACTCTTGATAACCTGCCATAATGTGACCGGTTTACCACTGGCCGTTGTCCGATCACCTTCGCCAATCGATTTGCGCTCCGGCTCCCGCAGTGTGGTGCCAGTTAGACCGGCTATGATGATGGTCAGCACACCCGCACCCAAATAGCAAACACGCCAGCCCATATCGAAAAAGTTGAGCGTGGTGATATAGCGACCGACGGGAAAGGCAATTCCATAGCCACCATAGATGCCCCAGTTGAAGATGGCCATGACTAGGGCACGCTTGTTCTCCGGAAAAATGTCGGACATAATGCCAGTAGCTAGCGGATTGCAGCCCGATTCACCAGCAGCCATCACCATGCGCAGCACAACCAAATGCCAATACGATTTGACGGTGCCCTGCAGCAGGATCGCAATGCCAAATATAATCGTACAAACGGTTAACATCTTAACGCGATTGTATTTGTCCGCAGCGAAGCCCATAAAGACGCCAGCTATGGTAAACACCAATATGAATGTGCTATTCAGCTCGAGCGCATAGCAGCTGCTCTCGTTCTTCACATCCGAACACTGGGTGACCAGTTCGTGTCGTGTGAACCTGCTGTTCTGCTGGCAGGCATGATCACCATAGTCCAGCTCAATGGCCGTCTGCTTGGAGGTAACGCCAATCAGATAGTGCCCCAGCTCACCCAGGATGTAGCCAATGGTGACGATGGCCAGCACAGAGCTGCTATAGAATCCGCTCAGTTTCTCCAATATCGGTATCATAATGCGTCTGCGTCTGTTTCAACTGCTGCAAAGATCAATTGCAAATTGAGAGAATAAGTGAATTGTTCAAGAATGTTAACGATATTTAACAGCAGCAGCGACCACTCAAATAAATATTAGCTATGTGTAAATAAGTACTAAAATAGACAAATTGTAGGACAATCCTTGCCAGAGCTAGATTGATCCTCAGCGGATAGTTAATAAGTGAACACTGTTGGCTGTAATTTTAAGAAATATAAACAGTTCGCATTTAGACTTCAGCTCGACTTATAAACAATTCTAAATTCAAATTATTAATAATGTTATAGACTCTCTAAAGTGTAGAGATTTTGTTGTCGCATTCTTTCCATAAGAACACTCTCCATACTTTTGGATAAGATGGCAGCTCAATCTTGTGGCTAATTTGAGTTTGTGTTCATCAACTGCGGACTAATAAAGGAGGAGATTTAATTATTGCCCCAAGGCGCATAAACATATGTCAATAAAGTGATAATAGCCGTAACAACAGTTGCAGCTGTTCGAAAAGATGAAAGACAAATATGTAAATTCTTGACTTTTTGCAAATATTTGTGATCTTACATCTCTGCCCACCTCCCTAGCTCCGTTGTGCATATCAATGGAGTGAGTGAGTGACAAGAGGAGTAAATTAAATTGCTTATCTGTGGCGCAGGGAGTGAGTGAGAGATACACGTTTTGAATTCCCATTTGTAATCAGGCATAGACAGAGAGACAACTGTGGACAAGTGTGGAGAATTGCACATAATTATAATTAAAGAGTTGCGACTTGATGCCGGTGATAAATAAACCATAGAACGGCGGCTTATAATGAGCCTTGACATTTGCGACAATTGCACAATGCTAAACAATTAACTAATCCAAAGCTCTGTCGATCGTGACTTGAATTTCCATTCGCAATGATTCTTGAGCGCAGTGAAAGTGAAGGTGTTTCCTGTTAACGTTCCGCAGATACCCTAATCACATTACTCTTTGGTAGTAAGGTATATTTGCTAAGGCATTGAAAGCTTTAAGTTAAGCTTTTTTATTCAACTCTAAAGATTACAAAAGATATTCTCGATGAGCTTAGATGAGCTTATCCAAGCACAGGCTGTGTATTATTTGTCATATAATCATTAAATTATAAACATATTTTCAACTGAGGTTTTTTTTTTGCTGTATAGCAATAAACTACATTTATTGGATGGGTTCTTTTTGATTACGAAGATCACTTGACATGGGTTACACTGTGCTGTAGTTAACTAAAGTTCAGATCAGACTGTTCCACTGTTTATTAGATTTGTGAAAGGCGTCGGCTCCAATCCAATGATGGTCGTCACTTCAAGGCATTAATCGGGCGGAGTCGTTTCTAATGATTTATGAATCGCATTGTGCGCAAAACGGAAGTAAAAAAAAAAAATAAATAAATGAAAGTAATCGATTGCCCGGCTAAGCAGATACCCTGCAAATAACGCATCTAAGGTCACTTTACGCACAATTTTAAATGATTTTTGACCATAACTGAAAATCAAAGGTAAATTTGAAATAAATGTCTATATGCCTATCATAATACTATTATATCAATTGGCCCTAGCTGGTATATATGTATATACAAGGTGGGCTTAAAGAGACTGTTATTTGGCTGTAGTTGGCTAAATGAATTTGACTGTTGTCCTTGATTGAGTTCGTTTCTTTGCAAGAAATATAATTTGCGTGCATTTCAATGTTCAATGCCAAAACGAAGGATTGGATTTTTTGTTTCCTTTAATCAATCAAGTTTCTGGCTAATTTACTTGCCATGTTTGGTTGGCTGCCTTTTTGTTTCGAGATAGACATGTGTCTATCTGTATCTATGCATAAGAAGTATCTTTTACATTTAGCTGCCGCTGATTGACAGCTGCCAAGGTCGCAAAGGGAACAGAACAGAACAGAACTATGACCCATCCCAAGGCTACAATTGCTGAGCCATAGTTTGGAGTAGCTCCATGATTATTATAGCAATAATAATAATAAATCTATTATGCTTTTTATCTATCGGATATGCGGCCAAAAGCCATACGCAAAATCAACAAAAGCGCCAAAAGAATGCGGATGCTGGCAGTTGTGGAACCATGTGGCAAATGGAACGTTCGAAAGAACGTTTGACCAGCTTATTAAAGCAACGCTTGACAACTTGTCTGGGCTGTCTTTGTCTTAGCTACCAAATTGTTTAATGTTTCACATTGAAATTCATTAAATCGAAATGCCTAACAAAACACTAACACCAGCAGCGCATTGCACGTGTTCCACTTTTCATGCTCATCGACCATTAGTGTATAATCCTGCCGGTTTCAGTCGTCGCACTGTTTGTTTCCATAACGATTATGTCCAGTTTGATAGGTCAGCATGATCGTTAAGACACAACTGGAAATTATAAAGCTATTCGCATCATGAACTGATGAATACGCAAACCTCTTTCAACTTGAATTAAGCTGTCGCCTCAAATCACATGATTAACAAGTTGACTCAATCACCAAGTCGACGTTGTGATACGCTCTCGAAATATTTCGCCATCTATTTGCTAATCGTCAGTTATATCCATGCGGAGGGTATTATAGTTTTATATACACATGTTGTTGATCGGCCGAGTCGTTTAACCCAGGTGCGTCTGTCTATCTCTATATGCATTGACTATTAGAACCAGAGTCTTTAAATTTCGAATGTTGGTTCTCGTCTGCGATAGACAGATCAAGTATATACATATATCTTCTTTTCTTTTTTTTGATTTTGTTCACCAACACAAAGTTATGTAAGTTAGAGTTATGTAAGGCAACCTGCTACTATTATTAAAAAGTTGGATTCAGGGCGTGACTTCTAGTCGAGCACTCTCGACTACAGCATTCGAACATGTTTATTTTTGGGCCTTGATTGCAAATGTTGGAAGAATTCTAATGTAAATGGATCTGATCTGTATCTGCGTATCTATATACACGGTCAGACTCTGGTTACAAAAGTTGCCGGCTGGTGTCATTTGTAAGGCGTGCCACTTTCTTTGCCAAGGTCATCCGCATAGAACGTGTGGAGCTGTGCATGTCAAAGGTGGTTGGGAGCCGGGTGAGGAATTGACTGGAGATTTGCTTTCGAAATGCATTGAAGCGTTAAATGCTGAAATGATTATTCCAACTGAAATCGCTTATTGAATTCACTGTTCATTTGATGAGACGAACGAGCGAACGAACAACAATTACAATTAACTTGTACTCAATGCGCGTCGTCGTCGTCGTTAAATTTGCATTTAATAATGCCATATTTGTTATAATTTGCACTTTTTGTGCCGTTTTTATTCACGGTTTTTGTTTTTATTATTTTGCAGCACACGCCATGCAATGTGGCGCTCCTATCGCACAGCATCGAGTGCTCCAATGGACTGGACGGCTTCATGTCCGCCTTCTACACAATCCAGCTGGACCTGCGAATGCCCAGTGGCAGGTGAATTATTAATTGAATATTTCCCATTATTATTGTCAGACACACTCAACAAAATGGCATCTTCTCCAGTGATAAAAGCGAACTGGTCATTGTCAAATTCATGAAGGGCAGCAAAGAGTTTCGCGAATCGAGCAAATCCTACACGCAATGTGCCAACGAGATCTTTCTCTATGCCAAACTGCTGCCAGCCTTTGAGAATCTGTTGCGCAGCAGCCGACTCAACACCGAACTTGCCGCTCAATTTGTGCCCCGCTCCTATTGGGCCACCTACGGCACCGTTGAGGGTGAGTGCTGTGTGTGATATCCTTGATATTCTTAAGTTGATCTCTGGTTTGTTGCAGCATTGGGCGATGGTAGAGAATCGGTGCTGGCGTTGCAGCATCTACGGCCAGGTGGGTATGAGCTTGGACCCAGATTGGCGCTGCGCCAAGATCAATTGGAGGCGATGTCTGTGCAGCTGGGGCAATTCCATGCGCTCGGCTACGCGATGCGCATTGTCCAGCCGCAGTTGCACGAACGCTTGCAATCGGAGCTGATCCCATTGCCATTTGTCGTCGCTGACAACTCGGCCAATCTGTATGCGGTTCTGTATCGCGTGGCCTTTGATCGCTTCTACGAGTTCTACGATCGTTGTGGCAAACAGCTCATCCAAACTGCTTCGTCTTCGTCGGAGGAGGAGGATGCTCGCTTTGCAGATGCCGTGCAGCGTTTGCGTACGAAATACTTTGAGCAACCAATCGATCTGCTGGAGCACATACGCAGCACATCCGGCGAAAGTCACTTTAGCACCTTTCTGCACGGCGATTTCAATCGGAACAATGTGCTCTTTCATGAGGATGACGAGGGGCGGGTGGACAACATCAAGATGATTGACTTCCAGGAGATGCGCTACAGCACAGTCGCCATCGATATCAGTTTCTAACTGTACATGAACATCCCGGCCGCGGAGCGTCTCCAATTGTTTCCCAAATTGTTGCGCCTCAGGGAAACGCTTGGCGAGGAGCAGATCGAGGAGCTGCTAACGGCTTACAGGTGATTGATGGACTGATTGACAGACAGTTTGTGTAACTGATTTATTGCTTGACTAGCTGACTGATGAACAGATTGACGAGTTTTTGACTAGCTGTCTGATTGATAGATTGACTGACTGATTGGCCGAGTCTTTGACTAGCTGATTGCCTGATTGATTGACTGACTGATTCGTCTAACTGATTCAGATTGATTGTATCCAAACTGAATACGGACTAATTGTTGTTGTACAGATTCATTAACTGGCTGACTGACAGATTGTTGATTGACTGATTATTCTGACTAAGTGACTGCGCCTGATTGACAGACAGTTTGTGTGACTGATTCACTGCTTGACTAGCTAGACTGACTGATTGACCTAGTCTTGATTGATTGATTCGTTCATTTGATTGTTCGAAAGTCTAAGACTGATTGTATCCAGACGGGGTGACTGATTCAACTAATTGACTGGCTGACTGACAGACTGATGTTATAATTGATTGAGCGACTGACAACAAATGGCTACAACTAATGATTTGTGTATTTTTTCCAGTTATGAGCAATTCGAGGGGCATTTCAAGCGCTATGCGTTCTACGGCGTAATGATCTGCATGCACTTCCTGCCTTGGCTGCTGGGCAGCGAAGCGGACTGCGATCGACTAATGCGGCATGCCTTCGACCACGGCTACGTGGACTCCATCTGAGGAGTAGCACCATTCTTCCTATCAACATTCCTATTTTATCGCAATGATTCGCATTTCTTTAGTAATTCCTTATTGTTCGCTTTTGTATTATGTTTATAATCAGTATGTTAGCCTTACGAAAGTGCAATTTTAAATGTCATTTTAGATGTTGAACAGAAGTCGTTTGTAAATTTTAAATGCCAATCAATAAAGTTGATCCCAATTCATAATATGTCGAAAAAGCAGATGCGTTTTTAAGCTGTAACTCGGCTATATGCTAGCGGATTCAAAAAGGACACGCATTGTTGAGCTCACGGAAAAAATGACTATCGCTTGGCATTTAAGGATTTGCACAATTTCAAATTGCTGGGGTTAGTTCAGAAAAAATGAATAAGTCGGTTATAACTTTGCCATTTTCTATCAACTATCAATCGAATTTCCATCGTAACACAGATAATCCTTGGCCAGCCTATGCGAAAAATAATGATTGTTCCTCAAGCTCTTTTTAATATAGAGAAAATGGCTTAAGGATCGCCAAAATGCCTGCCCTGTGTCCTGTGTCCAATATCAAACGATTTGTGTTGACCAGATCGTTACCAACTCATCAAAGGACATCTTAATCGCTTATATTAATAGTAAAGGGCATCATCATATCCTTTAGAAATGTATAAGGATTCTTTGTTTTTGTTGTTGTTGTTGTTTAGAATAAGTTTGAAGAATGCTTGAATCAGTTTAAGCGCTTAAACTATTCCTCAACTAATGGATTTTATGGCTGAGCCTAAGGATATGCAATGGGATTTTGTCTGGGATTATCGACCAACATTGCTCGGGCAAAAGCAAAGCCAACCGGCCTTGATTCACATTTGAATATTTATCTACGTCTCCAATTGAAATGAACTGCTGAAATTTGGTTGGCTTAATGTGTTTTTCTTTTTTTTTGTGGTTCTTTGTTATTTTTAGGCTGTTTGCACAACTGACTTCGGATACAACGAGAACAAGAACAGTTGTCTGTCTATAAAATGGGACTGACGCGAATGGAAGGAGCGCACTTGGATTGCAAAACACCGACGTCCAACATGCGTCATTTGATGGCATTACTCTTGCTGACGCTGGCTACCAGCCAAGCAGTAACAGCGATTCAGGACGACTATGGATCCGCTGGCAGCGACGATATTTACTTGCAGTCCAGTGGTCTGCCCGATCAGGTGGATGCCAAAGAAGAGAATGATACTGATGCTGATACTGATCCTGATGATCCCGATGATGCTGATGATGATGATGATGATGATGGTGATGATGATGAGAAAGATGAAGAGCAGCAGGAAAAGCCACTGAATGGATCCGATGTGAACAACATTGAAGCTATTGGCGAGACTGAGTTGAGCTGCGAATATAGTTGTCCGCGCTATTATCGACCCGTCTGTGTCAGTCGTAACGATGAGCTGGTCACCTATGCCACGCCCTGCGAGTTCTTCAATCACCTGCGCTGCTCCAATGTGGCCAAGAGGAAGGGCCAAGCAACGCCCACATTCCAACTATTGTACCACAAAGCTTGCCAAAATAATACACAAATAATTCATCCTTAAGCGATACATTTTTTTCTTTCCTTTTTTTGTATTTTGTAAATTAATAACATTAACATTATTTTGAATGTGTAGGGTGGGTCTAGAGAGCCCGTATAAAACTACAGATATGTGTATATATTGGTATATATATTTATCAGCCAATTGTTTGTCTTATTCATTACAAGTTGATTGAAGGGACTGTCTGTCACCGTCACATTCAAATTAACCATTGGAACCTCTTTTTACTTTTCTTTTGGTTTCTTTTATTGACATAGTCGAAATATCTCCAGTTGCAATTACACATCTAATAATCATGATTCATTTGACCAAATACGGTTGACAGTCTACATTTCTTAATTAAATAATAATAACAAAAGAAAAAGTAAGCCGAATGTGCTCGACCGATATTTACCCTGTAGCCAAGCCAAGATAATTTATACATAAATGTTATATATTACAGCTTACATCAAATAATAATCATAATAAAGAACAAGAAAAAAAAGGAGAACGTTGCAGTCGGTTGCGTAACCTAAATGTTTCTTTTGTCCAAAATACTTTATATCAACTACTGAGGAATTTCCACACACGTATAGCGCCGCTTAACAATGCGCTGGACTGTGGTCAGTGGAACCAATAACGGATTGGGAGTAGCAGTGAGAGTGGGATCCACAGCAGCAGTAGCAGGTGGTGGGCCCGCAGCAGCAGGAGTAGGTGTAGGGGGAACAGCACTAGCTAAACTTGAAGCAGCCGTAACCGAGCTAAGATTTATAGGCATCCCAGCTGGTTGCCAGTTGATGACTGAGCTGCGGCGGCTATTGATCTTCGGATTTGGATCGGCGGCAACAAGTTGCTGGGGCCGGAGTAGGTCGCTCATATTGTTGGGATTTAGGGTTTTGCGTCGATTGGCAATCCTGGCAGTGTTGCCCGTGTTGCTTAAGGAGACCTGAAACTGTTGATGCATTGGTGCATTTTTGGTTGCGACATTGCGACTCTGCAACTGACTGATGAGCAGCCGTGGAATTGGTGGCTGCTGAGATTTAAGGACGAGCTCTTCATACACCTGACGGATGTGGGTCACGTCGTTGTAGCGCGTGTGGCGCAGGCTATTCTTGCTAATGATTAGCCCATTTGGGAAATGATACAGCACCTGCATGAGGAACTTCTTGAGACAAGCATAGGGATGCACCTGATTGAAGCGAGCCACCTCGTCACGATGCTGCGTATAATAGTGCTGTATGTACTTATCGAAACTGGTCTGCTGCATGCCGCACATATTACAGAATCGAAACTTCTTATAATGATCAAGCATATGACGCAGCGTCACCAACTCGACGGTCGACGCGAATATGCATATCGAGCAGTGATATGTGATCAGCTGCTTCACCTTACTGAAACAGAAGTCCTCCGGCGAGTTGCTATGCACCAGCTGACCATGCTGGGCCATCGCGATATTTGTGGGCATTACGATGCGACAAATTTTACACTGATAATACTCGTTGGGGCATTCTGTCTCCGTGGTGCCCAGCTTGACCAGTTTGTCAATTTGCCTGTCCTTTAGATACTTTAGATCGTTTGACATGTGCTCCTCCGACTCGATATGATTGGTCAGCAGTGCCACATTGCTATAGCGATAATTGCAGAAGGCACACTCGTCCGGCCGACGAAGATCGCAAGCCACCATTCGGCGTATGGAGTGCGCTTGTGGCAAATGGTTCTCCATCAGCGATTTTGCATTGCCCACAAATGTCCGGCATTCCGGACAGCGCAACTGTGGCTGTGCGCTAAAATAGAACGGCAATTCCTTATGCTTCTTCGCCCAGTGCTGGGTGCGCAGCGTGACAACGTCGCCACTTGTCGCAGTGCAATGCAAACAGGCAAACTCCAAATTGTCCTGCAAGTGCAAATTTGCAATAATTAGTAAAGATAATTTTGTCGTTAATGCCATCATCCTTCGATCAACAACGATCCGTCATCTCGAATAATACAACAACTGCAACTGCAACCGCGCAACAGTTTCACATAGACTTCATCTTGGTCCCTGCCCTGGTTGGTTATTGAAATGCATTTCACTCATACTACTACTACTACTACAGGAGCTCAACACTTCCTCTGTCACAGTCATAGCGTATCACAGCTCAAACTCTCTCTCTCTCTCTCTCTCTGCCTGTCTGTCTGTCTCTCTATCTCTCTCTCTCTCTGATGTTCCAATCCAATCCAAGGGGGGACTGAACAGTGTCTGCAGATACTGCAGGATATAGCGCAGCAGTGAAAATAACGAGTCCAAAGAGTAGTTGGTGAGTTACGGTCCAAGGCAGACCAGCTCGGAGTACACAATTGGCTTGCGCTAAGATGGTATCTGGATTATATGCATTTATATTAAGAGAACCACAACGAAGAAAGGCAAAGGCCACAATTGGGCTGGGCCATCAGGTGTCTAGCTTTTATGCAAGATGCACTGACCATGGGTAAGAACAGACTTAGAACACTTACCGGTCTCTCGACCGGACCTTGTAGACTAAGAAGACATTTAACTAAACTATGTATTGTCAAAGAAGAAAACATCTAGAAAAGTAAACAAGGGAAACAAATCGACGAAGATTCCTTTGCAACTTACATAATCTTCAATCTCCTCATCCGACGATGACAGTTCGATTGCATCGTTGTCAAGCACCACCGGTGCAGAGGTGGTGTTGCGGCTACTGCTGCTTACTGTTGTTGTGGTGCTAATGGTGGTCGCACCACTGGTTGGTTCTACCCCAATTGGATGGGCCATCGCCCAGGAATCGGTGTCAAGCAGCTCATTGGTGACACGCTCAAACTGGTGCACGGCCAGTCCCATTTGGCCCACGTGCTCGTCCCGCAAATGCGCAACAATCTTGCGCTCGACGGCCACTCCGAATGGGCAGTGGGGGCAGTTGAACTGAAAATTGGTTTTGTGTTTGTAGCCACAGTGGTTGAGCATCTGTTGATAAATAGTTTCTGCCTTGCCGCAAGCGTTGCAGTAAAAGCCGAGCGTTTGTTGCATCTTCGTTTGGATCTGATTATAGTTCATGATTGGTTGCATCCGCTGATTGCCATGGTTGCGTTGCATATGTTGTATAACGTTCGTTACCACATCGTTCTCTACGTCACAGAATGCACAACTGTACTGATGCTTGCGTCCGTGCACTTGCTCCACATGCTGCACGGTGTCCTCATGGCTGACCAGCGTCTTGTTGCACAAATTGCACACCCAATCGATCTCTCCGATGCGCATCGTTGCAACTACAACAAAAACAAAAACAAAAACACAAATACAAAATTAAATTCACGAGTTAGTTTTCTCCAAATATTTCCAGTACACAATTCAATATCGAATCTCAACCAATTTTCGATATTTTGTTGAGTTGTGTTGGCAATTGAGAAACGTCGAGATTTCAATTGTATCGAGGAGAAAAGATAAGATTGATTATTGGTTCGGGACACTCACTTGACTTGAACCAACGCTTCTCTGTGCTTAGGGCAGAGTCATCGCTGCGCTTCGCAATGATGATATCGACATTGGTTCCCAAATGCTTCTCTTGAATGTGCCGTTCGATGAAGGAGCGCTTTGGATGAAACGTGCCACACTTGCCGCACTGATAGATGTGTCGCTTGTGGTATGACAGATGCTCGAGCACTTTGTCGGGCGT